CGAAGCTTGTAATTTATGGATAAGAGATTGATAGAGTATTGAAAATTTGTTGATGGAGTATTGAAAATTTTGATGCAAAATCAATGGTCGGTTAGCTTGACAACTTTCATAAGGGTTGGAAAAATAAGACCTCTATTAATTATAATTATTATTATTTTATTAAATTCGTGTTGGTTTTAATAATTTTTGGGAATTGAAAATTCATACTAATTACATTCCATTTTTAACTACCATTGAAGTGATACAACTACCATTGCACTGAAAACAGGAAAATAATTAATATGGTTTTTTAATTCAAACAGATTATTAAATACAACACAAATTAATTACCTTAAAAACCTCTAATTAATAGGGAGTTTCATTTTTCCGACCTCTTTAGGGGTAGTCATGCTATCTCACTCTAGAAAATTATTTTACAAGTTAAACCACAACCCAGCTACCACCCATTCGACCCAAAAAAAAAACTGTGGATAAATAACGGTTCACAATTGCACCAACTCTCACTCTAGTAAGTCACTTATTCAATTTGATGTCAAAATTCACCTAATCCGCTTATTATCCACCTCTATTTGGCAGAACACCCATGAATTCCAGCATCGGACCATTTCTAAATTGAACTTCATTACCAAAAGTTTAGCGATCATCCCCAACTCAACCAAATCATTCATTCATTTGATGAAACTAAGATTTCCCTCATTAGCGATAGCCGATATGCATGTTTTCCACTTTCCAGTTATAAAAGGGTGGCCGGAAAGCTACCTTTGAACCATTGGAAGATGAATTGTCCATATCATGCATAACACCTAAAAGGAACCTTTGCTGCTTCACTTCTTTCCCCTTTGTTCCACTCCAAAAGTGTTCGTGACCACCTAGTGGCCCTACCTTACATACGATTCGATTTGGTTGAGATTTTCTTAATATTGGAGGTTGTGAAGATTCAAACAGATAACTAATTGGTCAAACCAGTTCTGATATTATGTCATAAACCAATTAATCGCAACAATAAATTTGAGTTGTTGGGAGAAGGTTAATTATAATTCATATACCGATACTCTCTTACACTAATTCTCTCTCCCTCACCAACAAAGACAAACAAAAGAATAAAGAAGTAGACATGAACTTCAACCGTTAAATATATGTCGTACCAAATTCGTTGGCGTTATAATAATTAGTAGTATTTCGAATTGTAGTATTTTGCCGGATGTAATAAAACATATGCACCACTGTTCACGCTCTTTTGGTCGTCCGATTAGCAATTGAACGATTGTGTTGCATACAAGACATGAGAAAAATGAGTGTAGTCCCAACCAGTTGTTTGATTCTCAATTAGACAAATCACATTCAACAGTCAAGTCGAATAACTTTATTCTGGCCTAAGTTCAGGTCCTTAAACCCTTTTTCTTAAGGAAGATCTTAAAGCATTATGATTGGCTGATTCAATTTTAGGTAGTTAGTGAGGAATTATTAGTTTTTTTTTTTGTAGGAGAGGAATTATTAGTTAAATAGTTGTTAGGTTATTAAGGGAATTACAATTAAATTAAAAACGTAATCCTACTGATGTATATGCCCATGTATTGTCTAATCTTTTTCCTTCCGCAAGCATCTGAACTGTTTCTCTGTCAAATCAAAACACCTTCTTCAGCCGTCTCTCCTGCTGAGTTCTCCGGTCGGCGATTCTGCTACCGCAAGCGTTCTCCGCCGCCGACAGCCAGCTCCCTTTGTTGTCGTCGTTCCAATCCACCAACGCCGAAACCTAGCTTTCGTTGCCACTGCTGGTCCAACTTCCCTCTCGCTGAGCACTCCGGCCGGCGATTGTACTCCCGCAAGCGTTCTCCGCCATCAGCTGCCAGCTCCCGTTGTCATCGTCGACCCAGTCCACCAACAACCTACTTCTCTCGTTAGCATCGACATCGCTTTAGTCTCCGACAGCACTCCCCAGCTTCCAACCCTCAACGGTTGTCATCGTCTTCCTTGACACGACCCGAACTTTTCCGAAAACAAAACCACAACTCAAACCACAAACCGGTTACTCCGGAGCAAACCAAACAACTTTTTAAAATAAATAAACCGACAATGTTTAAGAATTTCAAACAAAAAGACTGAACACTTAGGCAAATGACAATCCCAATACTTAAAATGAAAGAACTCAGGATCTCCAGTTTACACTTCTAACCATGTAACAAAGAAATTAAACTATTCTAGCTCTGACTCTTCACGAGTTCCTTGACTTCTCATTAATGCTGGTGCAGCTGCTCGCATCGCCTTGCCTCTTCTTGCAGTCCGCCACTGCTAACCCTTCCTCGACCTGGTGAGTGAGAAGGGGTCATTCTCGTCGTTACTTCCTAAGGTCTTTTCCCTAGGCAAAGTCCTTACTAAACACATTATTAGGGGAATGCCTTCCTAGCATGAAAGTCGTTCTCACTTTCATCCTTTAACCTTTACTATCAAACAGTCTATAAGAGATCTCTACTCCGATCTTTAGAATTCCCTTACTTATATTCTTAATCCAAAGACACCAACACAAGGGACCACCGCGTTATGTCTCGCTGTCCAGTGTCCCTACCCTAGTATGCCAACCGCGTTACGTCCCGTCGTCCGGTTGCATACCCAAACTCGGCAATGGCACTGCGTTACGTCTCGCCGTCCAGTCCATGCCTGTCAACTATTGCATTACGTCTCGCCGTCCAGTAGTGACCCAACATACTCGATCGACTGTTGCGTTACGTCTCACCGTCCAGCAGTGATCCGACCATCTACCGCGTCCAGTAGTGGCCCAACCGCCCGGGGGTTCCTCATACCATCAATCCATACAACATCACATACATAGAACAACGCGTGCCTCCACCCTTACAGGCGGTGGGATGCCTCACACACATATCGCGCATACTAGAAAAATTAACTAAATAATAACTTGAACGAAAAGCATAAACTGAAAGACCTACGACATATATTTTACCCCCTTTACACTCACATCTTTAGTCGCATCAACGTCTGCATTCTCACGCTCAAGCCCCGCACGTTTTTCCTCTTTTGGCTCCTTAGCCGGATTATCCCAGGAAACCTATTAATAAGAAATTCATATTCTAAGACACCCTTTCTCGATTTAAAAACCTCCTTTTTATCTACCCAAACACCCTCTACTCAAAGTCTCATCCTCAAACCTAACTCCAAAGGTCCTTTAACCCCCCATTAAAAATTTCTAGAATCAATCCCTTCAAAACCGACCACTTTTCCTAATTATTTTAGTCTTGGACGAATTTCCCACCTAACTAGAACCTTCTTAAAAATTCGGATAATAATTTTCCCATGACAATCATGGATACTTATACCCTGGAAAATTATCAAACCCTTATAAACTCATCGGAAATATTTTTATTTAATTAAAACGAATGTTCTAACAATTTCTAAAATTACAAATACATCTTCAAAAATCCCCAAATTAAATTACAGCCATCTCCTAGACCTCCCTCAATTTATAAAAATTTCAAACTCAAGAACAAATCCCCATAAAGACTCGAACCAATTAAAAACATCTAAACAAGTTTCTGAAAATTCCCAGCAGCTTTAGTGATAACCCAAATTCTGTCACTAAAGGCCTGAACGTCTGTTGCTAAAACTTCAGAATTGCACCCTCATGAAAAAAATCACCAAATCGATCGATCTAACTCAAAGGGATCGAGTTCCCTTGCCTCTAGAACGTGCCTAGGCCTAGGTTGGATGACCCGGGACGTTGATCTCCTTGTTGATCGAACCCTCAACGTCACTGCTAATAAAACAAGAGCTTCGGATTAGACTATCGATAAATCGAGTTTAGAAATCGCGAAAAAGTTCGTGGTCCTTACCTAGAACATGATCGGGATCGGGATCTGGGCACAGGGTGTCGGCGCTCCTTACTTCCTCCTCTTTTTTTTCCCACGACGCCAATTGCTGCTAGTCTCTTCTTCGCTCGGGATGGGTCATGGGAATAACAATTGATGGGGCAAAGCTGGAGCAACGTGGGTTGGGGGAAAATATTTTGTGCGGCTGGAGGACTCATTCCTGATGCTGCTCTCGCTTTTAGGTTTGGGGAATAAAATTGGGGAAATTGTATTGAGATGGGGAAGGGTTTTGTGAAAGGAGGGCCGGCGGCCCTCTGTGGCGCCTATATATGTTTTTTTTATAGTACTAATAATAATAATACTTATTATTATTATTCCTAATCCGCGGTTGTAACTCTTAGTACTTAACTGTCAACCCAACTGATCATGTATTTAGGTCGAACCTAAATCTAAAATACCGTGGTGTTACATTCCTACCGAGCGTAGCTTACCTCCGGCGTCGGTCCTACCCGGCGTTGCCTCCCTTCGCAGTCGCTACATTATTAACATTTTAAGTCTCGTTATTATCATTTTAACCTACATTTCTAACATGTTATTAACATTTTAACAAATTAGTTACACTTTCAATAATATATAGCTATATTATTAACATTTTAATTTTTTTATATAAAGATAGTTTCATTATAACTTACGTTATTATTTATTAACAATTTAAACTACGTTATTATCATTCTGACCCATGTTATTAACATTTTAACCCACGTAATTAAAAAGAGCTTTTTCATTTTAACCTATGTTATTAACATTTTAAGCTACGTTATTATCATTTTAGCCAACATTAATAACATTTGGTTCTCACACTAACTCACATTACTAACATGTTAACATTCGTTACCAATCTTTTCCCTTACGTTATTAACATTTTAACCTACATTATTATCATATTAACCCACGTTATTAACACTTTAACAAATTATTGTAACACTTTCAACATGTATTAAACTACATTATTAACATTACAAATTCTTTCCATTTTATTCTATGTTATTAACATTTTAAGATACATTATTATCATTTTAACCAAAGGTATCAACATTTTGTTGTCATTCTAACTTACATTATTAACATTGGTTATCTATCTTTAGCCTTACGTTATTAACATTATAAGCAACGTTATTGTCATCACCACCCATCACGCAGACGGGAAGACGGTGGCAACGTAGACAAGAATCTGACGAGAAGATGGTCGCGACGGGAGAAACAACAGCGACCAGGCAGCTGGGACGGCGAGTTTGCAGACGGAACGGCGACGTGATCGCGACTTGACGACGACGAGGTTGCAAATGAGGAAACAAAAGTGATGCAGCCGTGACTTGGCGACGACATGACGCAGCCGTGATGCAGTGGCTCCGATGCCGGAATTGCACCCAGAGCGCGACGGCTAGCTGGCGACGAGTTTGAAGCCGTGGCTTCGTGGGAAACGATTTAGGGTTCGGAAGAGGCCGATTTTCCCGATATAAATGTTCAATAGTGAGGCATCGCAGACGTGATTTCTATCGTTTTCCTTTTTAACTATTAATCACATTAAATATTTATTATATTTCTAGTCTTACTCTTTTAGGTAGTTAACTAATTATTACTAATGTTTTTCTCTCCCTTCTCCGATTGGTTGGAGATGGTTTAAGATCTTCCTTAAAGATTAAGCCTTAAGGACCTGATCTGACCCGCTTTATTCTATAATAAAATTGAATTTTACTTTTGCTGAATGAAGTATAAGTAAGCACCTTATTACGCACTTTCAATTACTCATCCAACGCAAGAAAAATTAGTGAATATAGTGCGCCTTAAATCTCAACGAAAACTCACAGTATGGTATTTTAAGCTAAAATTGTGATTTAACCGTGGTTCAACCATTTCATACCATCCACTGGCAGATCCAGGGGATGGCCACCCCAGGCCCCGGCCCAGCCCTCCTCTGGATCCGTAGTTACTATAGTCCTTATGAAATTTTTTATTTTAAACATTCAATCGAGTGTTATTCTATGATAAGATTGGGTTTAACTAGAAAAATTATCAAGTTGAACATATTCAAATCACTATTCTAAATTTAGCCTAGAAATTTTAGCCCTAAAGATTATGCGTCTTAAAAAAACAATGAAACCTAAAATTCTAAAAAGTTAAAAACATAAAAGACTAAAAGAAATATGAGAATTGTTCCCTTACAAATTTACTAAAGCAGTTGATGTGCAGGGATGAACACACAATGTAAATTGATTAGTCGATTGATTTATCTAGTGTTGATGCTGCTCGTTTCAACAGCTACTACGAAGAGAACCTTTTTAACAATGAAACATGTGAGAACTGATTTGCTCAACAAAATGAGCGATGAATTTCTCGCCGATTGCTCAAGTATTTTATTTGACATAGTGTATACTATTGGTATGGATGTAGACTTCATTATTGATGCATTCCTAAATTAAAACACAATTGTATACAATTTACATTGCAAAAAAAACTATAATTATTATATTTTTTACGGTTCTAATTTTCTAATGAAATGCGGCCCAGTGCTCTTCTGTGTTCTGGATCCGCCGCTGATACCATCAACCGATTTTGCTTATGATATGAAATTTTTTTGTCGAACCTGCCAATACGATATGGTTTTCCCGTCCTTGCATTACACATCAGGACAGCTAGTGTGGATGAACAAGATAATAAATACAGTCAGTCAGGAGGGCAAGGCAAGCCAGGGTGACCACTTGCTTCTGGACAAGAAAACGACACCCATCAGATGCAGCCGCTATCTGCCAATTGTGTTTTAAAGAAGACGGAAAAGGACAACATAATGGAAGAAACGGCCACAGGAAGGCGAAATGGGGAGGGGAATGGAATAGCCTACTAGTGCAAATGCTGCTGCAGTGCTGCTGTTGCACATGGTGACGCCGCTCCTTGTTTTGGAGCCTTTTCAATTTCGGATTTTCCCCACGGCACCCATCTCTGTCTGTGAAACCGACCCTTCCTCAGCTTGCTCTCTGCTTTCCCATTTCTGCATTCTGCTAGTCGCAAGGAAAAAAGTCGTTCCTGTATAGTTTGTGATGTGATAGGTCCGTTACACGAAGCAAACACGTCTCGTTAGTATTAGGGGTGGTTATACAGTGTTAAATTGGTCCGAATGGATCCGGTCTTGGTCCGTTCTTTTCACAAATATAAGGATCAAAGATTGGATGATAAAGTTCGTTTACAATTCGGTCTTGATTTTAAATTGACCTTGTGGAGATTTGAGTAGTCTGGGGCCTCAAAGAGTGAGGAGTTCGTTAATTTTTAGGTGTTGGGCTCTTTTATCCTGTGTTCGATCCTGTCCCAAACCCGAACGCTTTTTACCTCAAATCTAAGCCCGGAGATGAGATTGGATTGTTTGTTGTCCGGTCCTGGTCCTGTCTCGGTCCAGTTTATATAGTCCGGTTTTGGGTAAAACCAAAAAGTCCATACCAAATAGCCACCCCTAGTTAGTATGCAAAGGAAGCACACGAGGTGTTTTACTTGTTTGTCCTCCGATGACCAAGTCGGTTAATAATTCTAGTGAGTGAAGTATATCTAGTTAGAGAGAACATTCAACCTTCTTAAATGAGGCTACCTTACGCTATTTGTAGGTGAAGGTAGAATTTTTGTTATGTGGTCTTTCCCGACGTCCTGCCTCAATTCTTACTTGTACGTCCTAGTCGTTGCATTGTACCTCTATCTACAAAGCTCCAGATACAGAGAGTTCGAAATTCACAAACTACGAACGTTAGACCCTTTCATTCTTCTTTATGGGCGCGCTCAGCCGTTCCTTCTTGGACCATCGTCGCTGACAACTTTTGTTGGTTCCTTGAGCTTTAGGTTCATCCCTTGTGCTTAGACCGCTGTTATCAGAAAGTCGAAATATTTGTAATGTTTTATTATGATACGGTTGTGAATTGATGTACGAACAAATTTTACTCGTGTGTGGCACTCATCGTAAAGCTACTCACAAATTGTGTTGGGTTGATTCTCAAAGCACACTCTCTTTGATAAACACCAGTTATGGATGCTCTTAGCTTATACAGCCTATGGGGATATGTCATCTTATGTTTGAGTACATAATGAGTGTCTTAACTTAATCAAATGTGTATCATTAAAGGCAGCAATGGTTTTTTCAACTTAACTAAAAAGTTCTTAATCCTTTGCTTAACTGAACTTTTCTCTTTTTCGGTTAGTTAGACTATCCTTTTCGTCGGTTAGTTCTGATGAGATCGACCCTACAAGCAGGGAGGCAAATGGGGGTGCACCAAATCCAGCTTGATTTTGCTGACCATTCCTCATCCTCCACGAGCAATTTGGTTCAATAATGTAATTCTCACACATATATCGTATTGAAGTTTGAATTGAAGGTTAAGAATATAAAAATGAAGTGCAATCTAGTTTAGACTCCCTAAGATCGATCAAAACTTAGAAATAATTACCAATCACTTAATAGGTAATTTCGAAAAACTACACTAATGGAAGATCATATTAAATTTATAATATTGAAATCAAGTATTTTAAGATAACCATCTTGACATTAACATTTAATTCTACCATAATGAATGTATAACTGCATAACGTGTGTTCCATTTTACGATATCGTTAATTATATCTAACTCGTAACTCATTTTGTGATCTTTCTCCAACTTAAACAAGATCCAATTAGTGATATGCATTGACAAACAAATAGGTCAAAAGATTCACCAACACCTCAACAACAACACACTACCAAGTTGGTGACTTTAGTCACAAATTTCCCACTCTTTAATCATTCATCTAAATTACCAACTCACAAACACAAGAAAAAACTCATCACTACTTGGTGAAAAGGTAAAAAGATAGCATAGAAAGGGGAGATGATTCAGTCATCCTCCACGAAAGGTAAAAAAAAGATATCAAACACGCCTTTTCTCCCTAAGCAATTTTAGAAGAAACCCAGAAAACAGAGGAAAGGGAAAAGGATATGGCAACAGTAATTATAACTTTCCCCTTCCCCCATGAAAAAAAGGGGGAAACCGGGCACCAAGCTTGGAAACTAATCTAGACTTTCCAATTGAAACCGATTCAGCTTTTTTTTCAAGTGACCAAGTAAATGGGCATGGCGGAGGTAGACATCCTCTGCTTCTGCTGCTGCTCCATGTTGAGCTCCCTGAGGCTCACATACGGCAAATCGATGTCCCCTTTCACCGCCGGAGAAAGAGATCCGGCGAGCGGGCCGGAGGCGGGCCGGCTCGTCGTCGTCGTGAACCGGTACGGGGTGTTCGACCCACTTCGGCTCTCGGTTATGTAAACAGGGCCCGACATCGTAGCACGGAAAGCTCGAGCCCTTGCTCTATGAACATCGTCTTCTGCTTCTCTTTCTCCAAAGCCTTCAACTTTACGACTGTTACGATGAGCCCATTTCAGCTTGAAGAAGACCAGCGCGTTCTTCCACCACCGCTTCTTGATTTTCGTCTTGTTGGCCTGGGTCGTTTTCAGAGATTCGTCTTTGGAGACGGGTTTCTGGAGCTTGAAGTGGAGCGTGTCGATGGAGTTGGCGGCGGCGGCGGTGGTGGTGGAGTCTCGCTTGTGCTTCTTCGCTTCTTCTAGGAACTGGGGAAACAGAGTACGAAAGAACAGAGAGAAATCAATATACGGCTTGGCTGAGGGATTCCGTTAATAACGTAGCCTGAAGATTCCAAAGATGGAGACTTTGGATGATTGATTTTACCTGGAAGTAGTCGATTTGAGGGTCGAAGCCATAGTCGCTGAAGTGGTGAGGCTCTGTGGGCATGGGGAAAACAGGGGATTTGCTTTTGCTCCCCATTTTTACTCTGTTTTGCCTCCCCTGTTTCGCTCTCCTTTTGAGCAGAGGTTTTATATTATGGCTTTTGGGAGAAAAGTAGGAGAGGTTGGGGGAGTGGCTCAAGGGAAGGGGATGGAATAGGCCGTTGGTCTGTAACTTGACAAAACCCTACTAGCTGGAACTGAGAGGGTCGTTTTATATATTTATCCAAAGGTTGGTTGGCTTCCTTCTTCTTCTTCCTCTGGGTAAATATATAATTGAAGTTTTAATGGCGTATTTATTACAACGCACGCCCCTCTTGTCTGGAAGGGCTTGAGATATGGAATTATGGTGGTGAGTCAAGAAAGCTAATTGCGCGGCAGAATTCTTGTGGGGTGGATACATTTACTAGGAGAATTAGTGGGATTGTTTATTGGGTTTGAATTATACCTTTGTAATAAATCAAGGATGGGTTATAATAATTAAGGGTGAATGCTTACTTACTCCTCCTTTTGATTAGGTGGGAGAGGTAGGGCGGCAAATGAGAAAATCCGTTTATAAGAGGTTTTGTATTCGGTTTGGGGAAAAAAATTGATCAATATTTGGCTCGTTTATCAACCTAGCCCTCCACGTTAAATCTTGTTCAGCTTGCAAGACTTGTGAGTCAAATCGGCTCAGTTGTTTTTTGAGCTCAACTCGTGAACTAACTTTTTCTTTTAAGTGAACTTGTGAGCCAGCTCGTTTAAGACACAACCTTGTTCGAAAATATGGTACGCAAGAAAGCAAGCGATAACCACCAAGGGGTGGTGGAGGTGGTAAAGGCGCGTGATTGTGTTGAGGAGGTCCTGGGTTCGAGCCTTGGCAGCCGTCACTTATGTGTTACCCCCTTGGTGGCCATCGGCAGGGCTGTAAGCTCGTATTAAAATGCTCACAAGATTTGTCGGGTATCTATAGGGTCAGGGTTTGTCGTTGCATTGCAAGACGGATTTCTCCTTGTATAAAAAAATATGGCAAGCGAGTCACCTCAACTAGCAACTTCTCAACTAGCAACTTATGAGCGAATTGATTAATAGTTTATCATTTGCTTGTAGATAGATCATAGGTTTGTTTCTCGTCACATAATGTTTATTTATTTATTTATTTTTTGCATAAGAGGGAGGCCGGAGCCAAGAAGGAGAAACAGATACATTGGAGGGCTAGGTGGAGGGGGCAGAGGGAGTTACAATGCGACGCTGAAAAGTAACACCTAACATATCGTCTCTTAGAACTTGTCTTAGTCCGCTTGGAGGATCCGTAAGTTCATACACACCGTTGGGATAGACGAGACTGTGTTTCGAGAGCCAGTCCGCGGCTCTATTCCCATCCCTGTATGTATGAACAATACGAACTAACCAATCGCGACTAATTTTCCTGCGAATACCTGCTAAGAGAGTAGCATAGGGGTGAATCGGGTCGTGTCTGTTCTCAATGAGGTGTATAGCTAGTTGAGAGTCTGATTCAATTTTGATCGCCCTGTGTCCTTCCTTCCAGGCAAGGTCCATACCATGGTTGAAGGCCCAGAGCTCCGCCGAGACAGCAGTGGCGATGCCCAAATTCGCCACAAAGCCCTTCACCCATTTCCCTGTACCATCCCGCAACAGACCCCCTGCTCCTGCCGGCCCGGGATTGCCATTAGATGCACCGTCGATGTTTAGAGTAGACCAGCCACTCTCCGGGCCACTCCAACCAATGTCCGCCATCACACGCATAGCTGGCCGGTTCCTGTTGTCTTGAAATGGGGTGGGTGAAAACCAAGAGTCCCTCCAGAGCTTCGATTTAGCAAGGATGGAAAACTCCAAGGTAGGAGGAGACATCGCCGCCCCAGCTCCATTGAAGCAAAAGATCGTGCGGTTCTTCCAGATGAGCCACGCTGCAGTACTAAAAAACACAGGCCACTCGACCCCATTACCTGCGGTATCACTGCTGGTGAGATTCATGCACAGCCACTCTCGGAGATTACAGCTGAAGAAAGAATGTTGCTGCTGGTGGTGGACGTCGCGGGACCAGAAGAAAATGGCCGGAGTGCAGTCCCTAAGAAGATGCAGAACAGTCTCCGGCTGGCCAGCACATCTCGCGCACTCTGGGTTGTCCGCCACCCTCCTGCTGTAGCGCAAGGCGTTTGTGGCAAGCTTTTCCAGGGATGCTTGCCACATGAAGCAACGAATCCGCTCCAGGGTGGGTAGTTTCCAAATAATCTTCCAAATAGCCTCCTCTTGATCTGGTTGATGTAGAGATAACAGGTGGAAAGCTGACTTGGTGGTGAAGCTTCCGTCTGCAGAAGCCGACCAGAACAGCTGGTCCTCCTCTTCGGTTTCATTGTCCACCGCCACGCTCAAAATCTTTTGCACCAAGTCTTCGGGGAGATAGTTCTCGAAGAGTTCCTTCCTCCAGCGGCCATCTTCCCGCACCATGTCCGCCACCTTAGCCCCTTCCATGTCGTGCGGAATGTGATCAATAGACAGCTCCCGGAGAGGTACCTGCAAAACCCAGCAGTCAAGCCAAAAATGAGTTTTTCTACCATCCTTAATATTCCACGCACACCCCTTCTTAAGGAGACTAGCAACTTTAGCAATGCTAGCCCAGGAAAAAGAACTTCCCTTAATCGGAAGGATCATATCCAAATCTTGATGATGGTGGGCATACTTTGCTTTCATCACTTGCGTCCAGATACTGTCTTTATCCTTGAGGAGTCTCCAGCCACATTTGGCCAGCATGGCCAGATTCGCCTGTCTCGTGGGGCGGATGCCCACACCACCCTGCTTTTTCGGCATGGTCATCTTCTCCCAGGCCACCAAGTGCATCTTCGCCCTCTCCTCCTCGTCGCCCCAGATAAAGTCTCTGTTGAGCTTATCAATTGACCTGCAGACTCCCATGGGAATGAGCTCCGTCTGCATGTTATAGACAGGCAAGGAAACAGAAACAAACTGGGTTAGAGTAAGGCGGGCTGCGAAGGAAAGTCGCTTAGCTTTCCAAGGAGCCATCCTCTTCTGAATTCGAAAAATGAGGGATTGGTAACGCCCTTTGGTCACTCTCTCCTGGATCGCCTGAATCCCAAGGTATCTCCCCAAAGCCGCTTTAAGAGGGACACCCGCACGCTGGCTGAAATGGACCTCTTTCCGGCGGCTGATGTTGGGAGAAACATAAAGGATGGACTTGTTGTAATTGACACGTTGCCCCGAGCTGAAACAGAAAACCTCCAGGCATTGCTTAACTGCAGTTATCTGGCGACTTTCTCCTTCTGCGAAGAGGAGGAGGTCGTCTGCAAAAAATAAATGTGTCAGTGCTGAGTACATGATCAAATATGTCTCATTTATAACTTAACAGAGAAATTATGTATCATAAATTGCTCAGATACTAATTACTATTAAATCATCATGGCATGAACAATTATAATTATGAACTAAATGATTTAATACATGAATTCTATTTGATATCACGAGCTAATTGATGACCCGAGTTTGAGTAGAGCTTGTGAGCTAATTAATGAGTCAAAGCTCGAATAGAGCTCGTGTCAAACACAAATCAGAGTTTTGTAAATAAACTGACCTTGAGTTAGACTCATTTAAACTAAATCAAAACTCGACTCGACTTATTTGCAGCCATGAGAAGCGTTTTACCAAAAAACAACCGACATTCACTTTAAGAAATATATGGACCAGTCTTGCTAGGTCTAGTGACTAGAGGTGGCAATTAGGATTTAAATCCATGGATCCAATCCAATCCATCCACCAAATTATCCACCTAATCCAATCCATTTAAATCCAATCCATTTGATCCAAATCCAATTGGATTGGTGGATTCATGGATCAATCCATGGATCCAAATGACAAATTACGATTTTGGTACCTATATTTTTTATATTTTACATTTTGGTACCTAAAATTTATATTTTTATACGAAAAATTACATTGGGAAATTACATTTTGGTACCTAAAATTGTTCATCATGACATTTTAGTACCTAAACTTTTCAAAAATTACATTTTTGTCCAAGCCTTGGATGTCATTTGGATTCATGGATCAATCCACCAATCCATTTGATCCAATCCATGAATCCACCAATCCATTGGATCCAATCAATTTGATACATTGATCCACCAATCCAATTCACGAATCCACGAATCTGATCCAATTGTCACCCTACTAGTGACCCAAGTTGTAGACCGGACGCCTTGGGCCGAACTATCATGGGCTCAACAAATTGAATGATTTGGTTTGATGCTAATTTATTGTGTATTCTCGTATTTTAATTTATTTGACATTTTTTGCTTTGTAAAAATTGTGGGTAGAGCAAGAGCTAAACTGTCAATCCTATTTTTCAGCCTTTCAAAAAAGAAAAAAATCCTATTTTTCAGAATTGCTTCTAGATCATTAAAATCTTTTGTTCTCATTCCCGACGAATTTGGCTTAATTAACATTGGAATATATCAAAAATAGGTCTAAAATGTAATCTCCTTCTTAACTTAGGTAGTTTTCGAATATGAACACACGTAAACTCTGATAAAAAACATTCAAACAAGACATTTGAAACGATGTCTTCATCGCCAACCCTAAAGCATAAAACTTAAGAGATGACCGAATATTTGTCGCTCGGTGAAGGTCTGAAGGATGGTGGCCTTGTATAAGCCTCACTTTGTGCCCTTAGTTTTGGCCAACAATGATCTATAGTAGTACATTGTAGCTAATTAGCACTCACTAACTTCATCAAATTTAAAATCTGTGTAGTAACCGTTATATGCATATTTTCGTGGTTAACACACCCGTGTGTATCTAACAACTGAGTAAACGATAAATGTGATCCATTCGACACACACTCGCAAAGCGCAAATCCAAACCCAAAACCATAAGCATAGATGTCAAACTGGACGCTGTAGCCGATGATCACCTAACATTTCTTCCGATTGAACAGTGGCGAAAGACAAAACAACATGGAAATGCAGGCAAGCAGTTGTCCTGGTATCACCGGCGCGGACAGAGAGATGAAAGGGACCAACCGACCAGATTCACATGAAACTGGGAACTAGAAATTAACTCCCCACAATCAAAGCACACACTTACTTGACCGTGATAAAAATGCTACCCTTGCCTTGCCGGGAACGGCTCTAGAGTCTAGAGTTCAGGGGACACTTCATCGGCAAATAGAAGCGTGCAAGAAAAGTTGTTTGTAAATCCTTCTCTCTTTTTTTGCTCACGGTGTCCGCTTCTGGTTAAAATAGCGCAAGATGAGTTCAGGCCTTCAGGGCGTTCTTGGCATAAGCAGGAGAATGTGGTCAATTATACTAATGAGCCCTAATGCCCTATACTATACACAGGGAACGGATCATGTCAGTAACTTTATAATGAGTAACTATGAGTAACCCGTTCACATCAACATCCCTCTCTCTTCTGGAAAGTCTTTAATTTTCCACTTCTTAATCTTTAGCGGACGTTTTCTCACTCGTTTTAAGTCAAATTTTTTTTTTTGCACAGTTAAATCAGATTAATTGTGTTTTTCAAAATGATATCCACTTTGATATATTTTCAAACAAAAAAAAAATTGAGTCATTTTTTACCAGTCTATATCATATGGTATTGACTGGTATTGAAATAAGAGCATACCTATGATTTGAAAAGCGTACCATGGTGGTATGAACAAACCAAGACTGTAGGATGGTTGAATACATGATAGTAGAAGTATATTAACTGTTATTTACGACTTGTAACATTGCGTACCACAAGATACCACCGCGTACCAGGGTGGTATTGTATGGTATTTTTTGGTCCTGTAATTTATTCACCCAGAAATTTGTAGATCCAATAGATCATGATGAACTCGTTCCTTCTGTGCAAATGTTTTAAAAAATGAATTAAAAACGAAGAAACTACCATATGGTATGCAGTTGGTACCGAGAGGCAATAAATTTTTTTTCTCAAAAAATTTTGAAAATGGATCTCATTTTGTAGAGCACAACAAACTCGTTCCATCTGTGCAAAAAAAAATTCCGAGTTAAAATAAAAGCTGGGGAAAAATAAAAATGGTCTTTAATTCTCCATCCTTATATCTGAATTTTCTAAATGAAGAGTCCAGATTTAGTTATTGATGGGTGCATAACCGTTATGCACCCTATTTTGAGCCCTATACACTTTAGTGGAACGCCGCTATGATATTTTCTCCCCAAAATAGTGAAAATACACTTAGATACCCATAAGCATGCGTGACAATAATAGACAATTTAAAAACAGACAAATATAGCCACATTTTTAAACTAATTTGACAAATTTAGCAATTATAGTTAAAATTGTGGATGGCGTTAAAAATATCGTTAAAATTGTCAAATTCTTCGATAAAAAGCTGAGGTGGACACCACCTCAACTCCCACGTCAACTCTCAGTCGCCATGTCATATACCATGAGAAATTTTCTTTTCCTTGTTAAGAAAAGAAAACAATAAATGATGACAAATAATCTCGACGAGAAAGTGAATTTTAAACAAAAGAAGCAGATTTATGAAATGGAGTAAGTGATGACTATAGAGGGATTTCAAAACTTAGGAGTCGTTTGGAAGTTGCAATAGTTTTGTTGAGATTGTCATTATGCATGTATTGTTTACAGTGCATTGTTTTGTTTTTTTGTTTTATTAGCAGAAACAATACATGGATTGTTTCTGTGATGTGACAAAAACTATCACTCATTTTGAGTGATTGTTATATCTCAACTTTTAGTTGTGATTGTTGAGATAGTTGAGTTGAGATTGTTTTGTCTCAGCTTTTAGCTGATGCGACATACACAATCACACATACCAAACGTTGTATTCTATAATACATCATATTCGACAATACATGTATAATATTATACATGCATTCTCAACAATACATCTATTTAACAATCGCAACTTCCAAACGACCCCTTATACTTCCAAGTTCACGACTAATGGTACTTTGATTGTTCCATAACACTTTTTTTTAATGTAGGTGACGACTACTGAAAGAATTTTGAAACTTATGCTTCCAAGTTTACGACTAGTGATCGTGATATTATCACTAGTCCGAGTTTTATTCGTGGGAGTTCAAAAAATTTAAATTTAGATTTGATTAGGGTAATATAGCCAGCCGCTATCTACGATCAACAGGCCAGTGAAACAGATCAGTGGCGGGTTGGGCTCAAGGATGAAGTCTGCCTTTGTTGGTCTTTTCTTCAAGCCCATGATGTCACTCTCCCTTCTTGCAGTTTCTTGCTCTTTGGGCTTTTATGTAAAGTCTAGTTCCAATACATTTATTGTGGGCTACAAGGCTGGACTTCAGAGTCCAATATGACCCGATTCCTCTTCCCCAACCCAACCCCACTTCGTTAGATGGAAACTTCATGCCAAACTTGAAAAATCTTCTTCCCAATTCTCAAAAGAAAGGGTGCAATTGCAAACCAGCTTATTAGATTGTAGGATAAGATGGTCCTTTCTTTCCGATAGTTAGCATCCACGCTATATTTCTACTAGCTTTGTGCCCGGCCATTGGCCGGGTAACTTTTATTATTAATAATTATTTAACAATATAATTAAATAATATTTAGTTAGACAATATTTTTTGTCGATTTTTGTAATTATAAAATTGTGTTTCTAGGATGAGACTTATTATAATTTCATCGGAATATTGACATGGTATCAATATGATTTTTCACTTAAGATGTTATATCCTAAATCAATAACTTTTGATCCCTAAAGTAACAACCTTATACATATTGCTTTGTAAAAGTAGTTAGCTGTAAATGATTAATGAATTTTAAACTTGTACTACTTGGGTTTCTATTTATTTACTAACATACTATATTGATTTACCCAACAACTCAAGTTTGGACTTTACCATTTGGTCCTTTTTCATATGCTTTTCTTGCGAAGTTCGTAAATAAATCTGATAATTTTTTTTTGTAAATTATAATATCATGAAAAATGAGTTCAGCCTTGAAAAGGAATAAAAATCTCAATATGCATAATTCAACAATTGATTAAGTTAACTGAAATTTTAAAGTTAAACCTAATGTATAGTTTGACAATTAAGCCTTTGTCGTATAAACTATATCCATGTTTTATTGCTTATGGTTCCATTATGATTTTTGAATTACATTTTATTTAAAATAATATTTGAAAACTTGAGGATTTGAATTATTAGGGTTGGACTAAATTTTTAATATTTAATATTAGGGTTGGACTAAACTTTGACTTACACTACACGTATACATTGGGAAAGAAAGATTAGAAATATAAGGAAAACAAACAAAAAACTGAAAAGGGAAACTGTGCATATTAATTTTTGTGATTTTTTAAAATAACTTCCACATATATAAAACGGAAAAAGAGAATTGCTTGGTTCTTTTTTTTCGCAGGGAAGGATCACGTGGAGTTTTTTACGGCAAATAAATCCATTATGATTGGTTGAATGAGGTGCTGACGTGGATGCATGAGTGAAGAGGGAATTTGAAATGGAGAAGCCTTTTTCGGGAAACTCTATTATATATTCTTTAGATTTAGATTTAGATGGGGAGGGGAATTTCTGAAAGAATACGTTCTGGATCGGTCAAACCGATCACATCAAAATTAGGGTTAATAAACAATATGAAATTACCTAAACCTTATTATACAATGATCCACCTAAAATTCATCTAAATTTTATCAATCCCAATAAATGTATGTGTTGATAATTTTATACTAATATGCATTATTAATCTTATATACATGAATCTTGCATTTATTCACATTCAACTCTACAAACACTCGTGAATCGGATCTAATTACATTTAATTTTATTAGTGCAGGGATATACACAGATTTATCATAAAGGTATATGCATTCGAAATGTAGATCCATAATTTTTAACACTCAGTCATTATCTAACTCCCATCCATCCCTAATCAAGCTGATCATCCATCAACTTCCTATGTGAACAAGAAAAATAGATCATCTTTCTTCCATCCCACGAAAGCAAATTCACAGTTTCACATGGCAGGGACAATTATGGAAATTTCAACTCTGGTGTGGGAGAATATCAAACAAGATAAGTAGAAGAACTGGAACAAGAACTTCCGCGTCAAACATGGCGTCCCTCGCCCCTTCTCAATAATTCTTCCCTTCGCATAAAAGCTTTCCCTCTCCTCCTTCCTTTCTACTTTACCAATTATTCCCCTCACTCAACATTTTCCGCTGTACGGCCCGGCAATGGATTCTCCGGGCTCGAGACCCTCCTTCTCCGACCGGAGCTACGCGCTCAGCGGGAAAATCATGCTGACCGCGATCGTCGTCCTCTTCTTCGTCGTCATCCTCATGATCTGCCTCCACCTCTACGCCCGCTGGTACCTCCTCCGAGCGCGCCGCCGCCAGATGCGCCGCCGCAGCCGCCGCCAGAACCTCGTCTTCTACGTCGATCCGGCGAACCCGAACCCAAACCCAGCCGGAGTAGAATCTCAAGGACTGCCCGCCGCCGTCCTGAAATCCCTCCCGGTGTTCGTCTACTCCGGCGCCGCCGCGGCGGAGTGCGCCGTCTGCCTGTCGGAATTCGAGGAGAAGGAGGCGGGGCGGACGCTGCCGAAATGTGCGCACAGCTTTCACACCGAGTGTATCGACATGTGGTTCCATTCTCACTCCACGTGTCCGCTCTGCCGATCGCCGGTCGAGCCTCTGCCGGCGATCGAGATGCTGGAGCCTTCCACGTCGGCCGGCGGGCGGAAATCGAGGGGGGAGTTGGGGATCGAAGTGCCGGGGAGGAATTTCGGGGAAGGGCCGTCGTCGTCGGCGGTGGCGGAGTCGCCTGCGGGTCAGGGGTTCAGGTCGCCGATGAGCCGGATGCTTTCGTTTACGCGGATTCTGAGCAGGGACTGGCGGGCGAATAATGGAAGCGTTCTTTCTCCGCGGTCGCCTGTCCCGACGAGCTGCGGTGGGTCGACGGCGGCAGCGGCGGCGGGTGAGCAATTTGTTGAGGTTGATTTGGAGCGAGGCCGCGAGGCCGCGGAGGAGACTCGGCCGAGTCCGTCGTGAGTGAGATGAGCGGGTCGCGAGTTCCGAGTTCACGAGTTGCGTAGGCCACGTGGCGGTTTGATTTTTTAATTTTGGCAAGGGGGCGGCGAATATATTCCAGGTTATGGGGCGCGGCAGTCTCGAGGCGGGAATTTTGCCGGGGAAAGAAGGGAATGTGTAATGTACACGTGGCAGACGGTGGAGGCCAGCGTGGAATTTAGTTGAGGAATGGTCTTCTTCGGTTACCGTGTTTGACTCGGATCTATGTATAGGAAGAATTAGAAAATACGATAGTTTTTTTTTTGTTCTGAATTATGGAAAATGTTATTTTTTCATACATATAAATCTTTAGCAAATTTATTTATCGGTCCCCTTTGTTCACGGTGGAAGTCTTAAACGTTTGTGCTTGGTTTAATCGTGTTGACTGAATATTTTCCATGGAGAAGACAATGGGTTTGGAAAAGGAAATTTGTTTGGTTCATTGAATCAATGGATTGACAAAAAAAATGGTGTTATATAATATTAATAAAACGGTATGATTTGTAAACACTAATGTATTTAAAATGACACAAAATTTCATTTGTTTGTAACATGTCATTATATCTCATATTTTTCTTAATAACATACGAATGTTGCTTAAATAATCACATTTACTTCTTATCTAAAAGTGTCTGTTCCATCATCCAAATATATTCGAGGGACGGTGTGAAAGGTCTTCGGAGAGTTTAGGATACTCTCACCAAAGAGTTCACTTCTCGCTCGACTCAAATTGCGGTGTTCATGCATTCATTGAATGAAGTATTTGTAAATGTGCACGTTTTTGTGATTCAGTAATTTTACCACCTAGTTAGCAAGAAATAGGAAGTGAATTGTTTTCATATTTATAGAGAAGTCAACAAGTGTTGTGCTTATCTTACAAGCGTACGACGTACGCTTCTTTTCGCTTTGCTTTGCCTACTGTTGTTGATTTAGGTGATATTTAGGGATGGAAACAAAACCCGAACCCACGGGTACCCACCTGACCCAACCCGGTCAACGTGGGTAAAACCCGTGTTGATGGGTTTTGGGTCGGGTTTGGGTTTAAACCCGCTACATTATTAATCGGGTTGGGTTGGGTTTGGGTTTAGGTAAACCCAACCCATGGGTATCCGCCCACACCCATATAATTAATTTTTCCGGGTTATTTGTAATATATCTTTCTTAAATAACTAATCTTCTTTATGTTTGTGGAGATATGTCTAATTTATTCTTTAAAATTGTGTACAATGAAGTTGATATTATGGAGTGGAGAGTGAAGAAGTTTAGTTGACAAGGAGGAAGGAGCTTTCAATTAATCATGTTGTTTATAGATGTTTATCTTTAATTTGAACAATTTGTATTGATAATTTCGGGTTTGCTTGTATGCTCTAGATTAGTGTTTTTTGTAAGGATAATTTTTATGAGAAAATTGATGTTAGACTTTTATTTTGAAAGAAATTTGTTATTGTAAATTTTTTACCACAAAATCCACGGGTACCCATGAACCCGCGGATACCAAGCGGGTTGGGTTGGGTTGGGTTTGAGTTTTTCAAACCCAACGGGTTTTACCCCGGTTTTTTGACGGATAAACCCATGGGTTTGGGTTCCGGTTTGGCAAAACCCGCCCCAACTCGACCCATTGCCATTCCTAGTGATATTCTTCAGAAATTAAATTTCTTTATTTTTTTTTTTGTAAATTCAAAATTTTTTTTTTCGTTGATTCACAAATGGGTCTCGATTAAATCGAGGTAAATGTGGGGAGATGTATTGACACTAGTCAAATGTGGGCAAGCGGTTGCAAGAACAAAAACGTTGGAGTTGTGGAGGAGGAAGAAAGGTGAACCCAATAATCCAATAAGCTATATTTCCCTTGTGAATCAATTAGTTGTTTTTATTACGAGAATTTGGAAGTTTGAGAAAGCGTTTGGCTTTAACTCCTGAACAACTACTTGAGATTCATTGCATGGCCGGTTGTTCTATAGAATACAATTATATGCGTCCCATACTGATAATAATAATTAATACATACAATTACAAATTGGTAAAATAATTCAAATCAAACTAATTAAAAAGAAAAAAAAGAAGAACAATTGGACCCCCTACATCATTTTATTATTTTGATCGACTGACCATTAGTCAAAATTCAAGAGTCCAAGAGAGAGAGCAAGTTGTTCCAAACTAGAATATGATTTGGTAAACAATTTAAAATCGGCTTGTTAAAGTATTTCTCAATTAAACATGTGATATGGCTTGAATTTATATGTATAACATTTTGGTAAAACATGTGAATTCGATGTTTATTAATTCATTTTAGTATTTTACCACATAACGGGGTTGGTTGGTTTAGTGTGTTGTGGGACTACCGTTTAAAATAACATATTATTTAACATTAGTGCGTAATTTTGTTTATTTTAAGTATTACCATATATTTTATATGAACAATTAATATATTTTTATTACGACTATTTAGTTGTAACGGGAATTTTGATAACACAAGAACGTGGATATTAACATTTAACAAGATTATTCACATCTACATTAATTTACTTGTGAGTACCCGTTGGATACAATAGGAAGGATAAGAGTATTCAACTTCTAGCTGATAGTTTCACTTTTTTTTTATCGGTGCACCCGATAAATTAGATATGAATTTTTCATATTCAATCCAACTCAATCCATTGTCATCGTTAATTTCAGTCTAAACAACCGACCCTCCGCTAAAGTACACAATCGACTCAAATTCACCACAGCGATTCATATTTATAAAACAACAATTGACCACAACTAAGATGATGTTTATCAATGATGATGGAATGATTAGATTTCTCACTTCCCACAAGTTGGCATATTGAACCAAATCAACCAACCAACCAACCAATCAGTTTTTCAATCCATCATAATCAAGGTTCCATTAACATGGCGCCCAATCTCCATCTGTCGTTCCTTCCTCACACGTTTTCTCTCCACAGCAAAACCCACTCTCCTGCTCTTTTTTTTCTTGGTTTCGCTTTCTCCCCGTTGGACAATATCGGCGATGGCAACAAACCGGGCCGAGACAGATACTAAACACCATCTAAAATAAAGTGTGATCCCATTGACAGTTTTTCACCATTACCATTCAGTAACTAACCGCTACGCGGTTTTACTATTCAGTGAAAGTTACCGGAAGCAAGAAGAACAGAACCCATCAAATCCCAGTTTTCAACGCTTCACATATATAGGGTTATACCTAACACCATATATAAATATAACAAGAAACAATATTGTTTCACAAGGTAACATGTACTTGATTTTGGTTCATAAGGCTGATTTTTGATTTGTTGCATCATTCATGTCTCTTTCCTACTAAAATTCACTATTTTTATCACTTGTTTAAAAAAAAACTATACAATAATAAACTATACACCACATTACATTATCAAATTTCATATCTCACCTTCCTCCGGCCAAATGGCCGGGGCCACGCTAGTTATTAAAATTAACTTAGGAAAAAAAGATGAAGGGATAAGTTTGAAGTGGCGCAGGCTAGAGAGAGAAAAAATAGTGGGAGGAAAAAAATTCATCGGCGAAGGAAACGGTTTAAGGGAAAAAAATTAAAAAAATATTAAAACCCTAAAAAAACCGAGAAGTGCGGAGAAGCCTTGGAGGCTTACGTGGAGGGGGTCATATTTTCAATCTCCTTTAATATATTTTAAGATTCGTCTTTTGGCCCACGCTTTGCCGCGGTAATGAACTAATTATTTTTAAATAAATTTTTATGCACTCATTAATGATTTAGTTGGAATGAAATTATTAACAAAATAAAGTAAAGCTCTTTCATAAGCTTTACATAATATATTAATTATATGGAAAGCATATGTACCACATTTGTTTGATAATACATAGGAAATTAACTATCCCTTGAATTTTCATAAGTTTTACATATTGTATTTTAATAACAGTCATAGAACGGTATTACGTAATCTTCTGTAACGTGTGGTCTAATAAGAGAATCAATTTACATACTTACATTTGATTAGACTATTACGTAAGGTTAATCTATCTTACATAAGCTTTATTTTGTGACATGCAAATTGATGAGATGTTGAATATAGTAGGTGATATTAAATGAATCATAGTAAACAATAAGAGAATGAAGTTATAGAAATTATTGTCACTCCACAAAGTTTGCGTATTTTGTGAGTCATGAACACTTATGTTGTACATTTTGTTTAATTGATACATAAAATTTACGTAATTTTTATATAATATTTTTACATAAATATTATGTAGTGTATGATTTAATAATAAAATTATGTTATGGAAAGTAGCACATTTAATTAAACTACAATGAAAAAAATTAACTTACCACAGAATTTTTGCATAATGCAAATGGATGAGATGATGAGAATTGTAGTTAATTATAAGTTTTGTGTAATATTTATGTGATATGTAAATCTTTTGTAATGTGAAATAAAAAGTACTTTGAAGGTAAAAAAAATTTTATGGTGAACTTGGCGAAATGGAAAACAAAAAAAATTACATAAACAACTGACTATGGGAAAAAACAACGCATATGGTAAAATTGGTTGTAGAGTATAAAAAAGTTTATTAAAGAATTAATAAATACCGAGATAGTTGTATGCAATAATTATACGGAAAGCTTATGTTACACATTTGTTTGATGATACATAAGAAATTAACTATCCCTTCAATTTTCTTAAGTTCTACGTATTGTATTTTAATAACAGTTATAGAACGGTATTACGTAATCTTCCGTAACGTGTGGTCTAATAAGAGAATCAATTTACATACATTTGATTAGACTATTACATAAGATTAACCTATCTTACATAAGCTTTATTTTGTGACATGCAAATTGATGAGATGTTGAATATAGTAGGTGATATTAAATGAATCTAAGTAAACAATAAGCGAATGAAGTTATAGAAATTATTGTTATGTTGTATGTTTTGTTTAATGTGAAATTAGGTGCTAGAGATGGAAAACTTATGGTAAGCAAATAGAGCTTATGATAAAATTAAGTATAGAGTATAAAAAATCCGATTAATAATACTTGCTACAAAAAGTAGAAATAGATCTAGTACTATCCCAATTTTTAATAAGAAATCATAAATAGATCTAGTACTATCCCAATTTTTAATAAGAAATCATAATTTTTGAATATAATAATTTTTTAAATTCCTAGATGAGTTTCTACCTACCCAGTAGAGAAGAATGCTAAATAAATTAGTGTTCCTAACGATGAGTCTTATACCCTGTAGAAAAGAATGTTAAATAAATGAATTATGAATGGTAATTCACATGAAAAAAAGGGTAATTCAAGCAAATAAAAAAAAACTTTCCTCTCAATTGTCAGTACCAATCACATAATCATCTCCGTTTCCTTTGTCTCTGGATATTGGGCGGACAGAATTTAGCACACTAAATTACTTTGTTTGCCGCACGAGGGACTATTGGAGATATCATGGGCCTGCCGCAGGGGAAAAATCACCAACATGAACAGTGCCCCGGAAAAGTCTAATTCAGCAAGTGATTTAAGTTTAGCGGTTTTTTCGTATGAAACAGTGATTTTATTTTTTGATTACTTGTCATTTAATAATTCTAACTAATAACTAATAATAATAATAATGTGTATGGGCATAAGTTTGGTATGGGTCGACACATTCTGATATGTGATTCAAAATAAAAAAAATGAATGTAATAACTCAAACCTTGTATGAGAAACATACGAAACGGTCCTGAAATGACGAGGGTGAAAAAAAGCGATGAAATGGATATCAAAATGAAAGAAAAACACGCCCCAAGAAATTGATTTGGCAATAATGCTGCTACGATAACATCCACCGTACTTAGAGTTCAAACAGTCAAGACACACAATCGTTGAAACGAATGAAAAGTCGACACTCCCGCTCGACGATGGCGAAGACATTAAAAATCTCAAGTTTGAACCCATAATAGGATGAATGTTCCATCCATGTCATGGACGGTCAATAGGGTCGATACCTGACGTAGCTCCCACTCCACCCAAACACAAAACACACGAAACTGCTTCATAATCACAGGAGTCGCTTCTTCTAGTCAAACTATTTATTATTCTGCGTTGATATTCTATGCTTTACTAACCTTTAAAAATATCTCTACATTATGTAGAAGTTGCAGCAGCAGTTGTTGAGCAGAAAGTCAGCTTGACTTTGACATTCGCAATCCACATATTTCAGACTCCTACTTCTCTACGCCATCTCCTAAAAATAGGGTTGCTCAGACGACTTTGGCTGCTACTATTCTTTTTCGAGACTCAGATAGTCAAAGCCATAAACAATGCAGTTTAACAAACAACCTCCACACAATTCTCACATTAACCCTTTAGCCATCAACAGACGGTCAAATGGTCAGCCGATCTTATTACAGACTCATATGAAGGAAATGAAACAAAATTATTCAACCTAGGCTTCTAGTAGTTAGCAAAGTGTAGTTACTACAAGAACCCTCAGACTTTGCAGTAGATCCCTAACACAAGTTAAGCTAAACCCAAGTAAACTACAGATGACATCACAGGATTATGTCATTAGAGTAATCAAGCTACGATGAGGTAGAAGGGTGATGAAAAAGTTCGCACCTGCTTGTTGTCGGAAGCCATTCAGCTTGAAAGATTGAATTTGCTCCCAGCAAACAAGTTGATTGATGCATCAAACAGGGAAAGGCAAGTCAATTGGTTCGACTAATCTTGATCTTCTTCTCCTTTTGCCCTCTGGAGTGCACCTTCTGCTGCTGTTCATCTGTAGCTTTGAAGTGAACTTGGAGTTCGTCAGTGAAGGTGAGCCATTTTCTAATTGTGACTTAGGTGTCGAGGATCTATCGATAGAGAGCTTCTTCTCGCCTTCCTTGTTCCGTGCTTTCATGAGTGGTGATTTGACTCTCTTTTTGGAAAATTTAAAGTGTTTCTGGGCTTGTCTTCCATCCCTTTTGAGGAGTTTGACGTGGAATGGATTCACAGCAGTGTAACAGAACGACTTTCCATTAGCAGCAGCATTCTTCTCCAGATCAATATCTCCATCGTTCACCTGAAAATCAGCCGAGCATTGGATAATCAAAATCGGGTGATTTATCTAAACAAAGAGAAGACATTTTCAAATGTAAAGTGAAGGGGTGAAGGAGATTAGGAAACAGGTAACAACCAACTGCAGCATAGCAGAGAAGGAACGGGCGACATCATGCCCTTCTTGGCCCGTCACAATATCAGCAAAGGATTTTATGGTCTCGGTTTCTGATTCGAGAGACAATTTGTCGAGAATCCTTTTACCATAGACATGTATGTCAAATGGAGGCCGTGAATCCTACCAGAGACAAACCTTCCACAGTCAATTTAGGGAGATTTAAGCAAGTTTGGGTGACTTGAATGACCAGCAATGAGGAACATGATAGTGGGTATAGAACATCAAAAGAAAAGGCAAGGGAAGAAAATAAAATTTACTTGCACTTCAAGGTTATGCTCGATTTTTTGTTTCCATGATGAAACTCGAGCAGCTAGTTCTGTCTGCTTCTCAGATTCAGCTATGTTAGCAAGAAGAGCATCCTGGAAAATCACAAAGGATGAAAAGAGAAAAAGGTAAACAGCCACAAACCCAGCACCAATGTGTACCAAATATACACCAAAAAGTAATTAGAAGGTAACTAAACATGAGAAAACTAATCGCTGAATATATCAGAAGGTAACTCCACTTACTAGATGCGATCGACAAAGATCCTCTAAACTTGCTTGGGAGCTTGGTTCTCCTTGTTCAAAGCAATCACCGTTATCAAAGCCAGTAGCACCATCAAAATTCTGAGTGAAATCAATCGAAAAGGAACCAAGTTCTCAGGGCTTGAGTCACTAGAAGGTACAAGCCAAAAAAAAAAAAAAAAAGGTTAATCAACAAACCTTGTTATGTTGATGGGGTAAATCGTCATCCATAAATGTAGCTTCGGGCATTTCACCATAAGGTTGATCAAACCCTGGGTCACCGTTATCATCATCATTGTCCCAATTGTCACTCTCACCATTATCACTGAAGTTTCCAGTTTTCTTCCCTCCACCAGCAAGTGATTCCCGTAACTAGATTGCAGAAGACAAGTGTGAATCGATAATAGTAACAGCGGTACAGATGTATGCCATCTCTGGGTAGAAAACTAAACCTTTTCATATAAAGGGTTAGATTGTGACTGAGAGTTCCCAAGCTGATCACGAGTTTTTTGACGCACTTCCCACATCTCTTTGAACTCCGTACTAATTGGGCAATGTAACTTTGCAAGAGGAAACAATTTAGCAATAGATGCTTGCCTCAAGGTGTTTGTTGAGTTTCTCATATTCTTTCTTAGGGCTACTGTTGATGCAGAAAAGTCCATTAGTAGTGTAGCAAACTGCTTAACTTTGGAAGAGCCAAAAGAATGTGAAAGAAATGAAAATGAATATTTTTTACATAATCACCTCGTTTGAAAGGTTTCACTTTTAAGTCCCCAGGTTCATGAGGATTCAAAGGCTTCCATGGATCAGTTTCCTCGTCGTCTAAATCCGAGTCACCATCCAAGTTTCCAGGTGGTGAATACATATCATCCATATCAAAACCTTGATCACCAGCTCCAAAATTACCCTCTTTAGAAGGGCCAGGACCCACATCACTGTTATTGTCCTGCAAGCCACAGTCAGGAATAGGTGACCGGTTGAAAGCAGCATCGTGGCTCTTCCCTAGGGATGACCTCCGTGAGCGTTTTGCTGAGGAATGACCAGTTTTCCGGACTGAGCTGGGCTTGTATGTCGGACCATGTCCAATGTTTATATCATCTAAGAAGTCATTTACTGAAGGAGCATCACATGGGTCTAGCAGGATAAAATCCCGGTAGAGATCACTGGTGGCTAACTGCAAAAATTAGAAACAAAAAACGACATGGGATTTTAGATGACTGTTTGACTCCAGCATATCTACAAACAAAAGAAAGAAAGTGCATAGAGATGTCATACTAGATATGACTCCAGTTCCCCTCCATCACCACCAGTATCCAGGCAATCACCCTCAAGAACCACTAGATTAGCTGGTGGTTTCGTGAAATGGTAAAAGGAAGCATCTTTACTGGTAGAAGCCTCCAAGCAATTCCTTGGTTCCACTACAAAAAAGAAAATCCCATTTTCTAAGCTCATTTCCCCTTTTATAACTTCACGGACAATAGAGTAAAATGTGAAAGTTTACCTGGGATGTCATCCGAGCCCCAAAATTCATCGTCTTCGTTATAATTAGCAGACCTTGAAGCAGTTTTCTCAGGTTGTTCGGCAGACGCATCATCCGACTGTCCCTGCTGCCTAAACAAGAGTATGCAAGTAAAAGATTGCTGAGGCATGTTGTTGAAACAAAACAATTAAAGAGAACATGAATTGTTTCATAGCAATGTTGGAAAAGATTCGCACCTCTTCTCAGAGAGGAAGTCCAACGCATGTATAACCAAGTTGTACAAATACTCAACTTTCCTGCTGTACACCTGAACCGAACCCTGAAGCAGTAAAGCAGCTACATTTCCCACAAGAAAACAGAAAATATTTCAACACCGGAGCTCACATTACATGAATCGACAAAAAAAAAACATAAACCCTAATCCCCCAAAAAATTTTGAGAAAAAGAGGCACCGGAAACAGCAGTCTCGAAAACCCAAAATTGAAAACACTAACCTTCAGCGAAGTTGATGGAGATATGAGCAGCGTCCTCCTCAGTTCCCCTAATTTCACCAGAGCAAATCTTCAGCAAGTAATCCTCGAGCTTCTTGGCAAGATCGACCTCCCAATTCGCCTCTAAGTCCCGCTCAGCCTGCACCGTATGGATTCTTTCGCCTGAACCGTCATTGTGGTTACTCATCCTGAACGCCAAGAGTATAGCTTTGCATTCCGCGGCGACGGCTTCATGTATAACCCTCGGAACACTATGATTTTGGGTACGCCAGCGGGTGGTGAAATGACTTTCGAAGGTAGTTTGGCGTCAAATTCCGATTGGGTCGAGAAGAAATCAGCAAAAATGCTTGCGAAAATGCAAGTAAAAGGTTCGATAGTTCAGTGGGCAATGGCAATGGAGATCCTTCTCCAGGAAGGCAGGAATGAATCCAGAGGGAATTGGGAATTCAAAAAGTTTTTGACTTTTGACGAAAACTTTCCCGCTTGTCGTCAGAGTCTCTCTCTTGAGTCTTGAGTCTTGAGTCTCGAGTCTCTTGAGTCTTGACTCTTCACTCGAGTCTTGAATCTCGTTATGTCGCCTCATCTTGTCCGTCGTTCTTCTAATTGGGCCGGCCCATGTAAATTTTTTAGCTCGAAGAAGAGCAGAAGAAAAGTGTATGGCCCATGGGGAAATCATTTAGGATGTAGATGGGAGGAGCGTCACGAAGACGCCACACGAGGGGCAAGCCCGCTGATCCGCTTCGTCAAGCCAACCGCCCGGGTTGGCCTGATTTCATCGGGTTTGACCTAATTCGGGCGGATGCTCTAGTGGGTTGTTGTAGCCCATTTTTTGTGGACGGGCTTGGGTCATCTCACGAACTTACACCTTGGTAGACAAGCCAAACATCTAGTTATGTGATGCTTGCCTATATTTCCCTTTTATCTCGTTCTCTATTATCTCTTTCTCTATTTTTAAATAATGGAATTCATTGATAAAACCCCGATATGGTCGATGGATACATGAGTCAAGATCAAGGAATAAAAAATATCAAACAATGAAAAGGGCCCAATATGTAACGCCCAACTAAAGCGTTGTTGAAGGATCCAAAACAATTGCAGAAGATCCAGAGCAGTTGGTGGAGAACATTGTTGTCGTGACATAAGAGCCCTGCACCTTCAACCCTCACACACACCAACATCGAGAAGACATTCACTCAAAAGATAGAAACTATCATCTGCTATCACTAGACGATGATAAACTGAAGAGACGAACAACCCTACAGGATGCACTCGGCTAGTCGGGACACCAGAGAGATCACATCTTTATCCCTTAATGTAACATTCTCCTACTACAAGTTTCTCAAAGCTGAAGCCAAAAGAGATTCATAATAGGATTCCCAGAAACTTCTCCAAAATACCTAGTCATAGAGGTGAAGCAAGGAGGAGGCTCAAAATCGAGAATCGAGAAAGCAAGTAGGCAAAAACTCAACCCCCTCAGCCTCCAACAAACCATCTCAATGTACATATCTAATAGATCAGACATGAGAAATAAAGGAAAGCAACCATCTTCATAGAAGATGGAGAGAAAAGAGCCAATGGAGGAAGCACATAAAACTAATCAAAAGCATGAAAATTTTGGAGTCGTATGATAAATTTGTATGGTAAGAATGTATGCAACATAGGGGGCCACTTGTGGTATACAAAAATTGTGATATCTGTCCTATAAAATTTGATGAATTGTCCTATCTATACGTGAACCCAAAACTCTTTGCAATTCATATTCATATTGTCAAGTATATATTGTTTGATTACCAGTACCATGATATTAGTATCTCAAAATGAAACAACAATAGGATAATTTTTTATAGATTAATGATCAAACAAAATAGTATATTTTTCTCGTTTGGTGCTAGTTATAGAGAGAAATAATAATAATTAGGGGTTTCTCAACGTTTGAGTTTTGTCGATTCCATTATTGAGCTAAGTTGATTCGATACAAAGAGAGTTTCAGAGAATAATATTCTTTTATAGCGGCTATTTGTCCTTCGTGGATGTGACACAAAGCTCTTGAAGGTCAGAATCTCCTCTAATGGGGCCTTCGTTGACAGATTGGTCATGGGCAACAATGAGAGTCCTACAGAAGGTGTGTTTGCCATTTACTACTCCATCTCTCAGTCTTATCCATATTATGACATTACTCAACTCGTTTATGGCTAGTCTAATTAATCCTCAAATACGAGAATGGAACCTCAAACTCCTTCAAGCCTCTTCCTAAATGAATGTGTCGGCTTAATCCTTTTGATCACACGGTCAGCTACTCCACTTTTGGATCACCTGATTTGACACTAAGAATGTTCAGTGTAGGATAGAATTAAAATTGGTTATAATTTTTTTTCCTTTGACACTTAATATAACACACGAGCCTCTTCCTCCTCATTCGAACTACAAACTTTAAAAATATTTGTGGAATCTTCTAGTTCCTCCAAAGTTTAAGTTTTTTATGGCGAGTATTCGAGGATTCCTTTCATTTTGTGTCATTCTACACGGAAAAAACCCAATGCTCATCGAATGTGTGCTCGATGTGCTAGAAACAATGTCTTGTTTTCCTATTATTGTGTTGAATTTGTGAAATTGATTTGCCTGCTTTCAATGAAGGATAATCTCTATGTTAGGATATGACTTGAATTTGATTTGGGTTTGTTTTGTGTTTTGGGCCTATTTTGTTTGGGTTTGTGTTTGGGCTTTGTTTGGCCTTTTCCTTGTATGGTTGGGAAAAGGTGTTTGGTTTTCTGTTTGGGATTAGGAGAAGAGTTCTATAAATACTCTTCATCACCCTAGTCTGTAGGAAGGTCAGTCAGGTTAGTTTGTTTGGTTTGTTCGTTCTGGAATTTGGTTTGTAACCTGTACTCTCCTCAAATCAGTGAAATTTGTTCTCCCCTGCCCGTGGATTAGCTAGCACACATTGTTTTAGTGAACCACGTTAAATTTGTGTTTGTTCGTGTTGGTTTGGATTATCAATTGCACGATTCTGTTCTAACAAGTGGTATTAGAGCCGCAGTTGATCTTTGGGTTATTTTAAACTGTCTTGGCGGATTTTGGATCGCGCTCCTGGTTGATCGGATGCGCAATCGACGAGGTTCGTGGTAAAATTACATCACGTTCTTCAATTCGATTTGTGGATTTTGTCTTAACTTGAAGAAAGCTTGTAGTTTGGGGAGAATTATGTTCGTTGCCCTTGCTGGTGATCAGGGTTTTCGATCACCAAGGATGTTTGTTCTGGATTTAAAGATTGAGAAGTCGATTTGGAGTTGCAGGTTTGGAGTTGGAAGTAAATCTGATGTTGGTGTTATCGATGGAAATAACACCAAGTTGGTTATGCATGGCAAGTTCCAACATGGGTTGGACTTGCTGCATGTTTTGATTTGTTGATCGCCCTTAGGGGCATTTGGAGGCAGGGGAGATTCTGGTACAACTAATTTGGAGAAGTTTGGTAGGTCTGACAATTTTGATTGCATATGAGTTTGGCGATTTGCATCGTGTTTAGTCTGGAGATATGAATCGCATTTGGATATGTCTGGCAATCTTGATTGCGTTTGAGTTTGGCGGTTTCGATCTCATTTGGATACGTCTGGCGATATGTATCGCGGTTGGGTACATTTGGCAACTTAGGTTGCGTCTGGTACATCTGGCAACTTTGGTTGTGTCTGGTACATTTGGTATTTGAGAGAGAATTCAAGTCAAGGTGGAGATTGTTAGGATATGACTTGAATTTGATTGGGTTTGTTTTGTGTTTTGGGCTTATTTTGTTTGGGTTTGTGTTTGAGCTTTGTTTGGCCTTTTCCTTTTATGTTTGGGAAAAGGTGTTTGGTTTTCTGTTTGGGATTAGGAGAAGAGTTCTATAAATACTCTTCATCACCCTAGTCTGTAGGAAGGTCAGTCAGGTTAGTTTGTTTGGTTTGTTCATTCTGGAATTTGGTTTGTAACCTGTACTCTCCTCAAATCAGTGAAATTTATTCTCCCCTGCCCGTGGATTAGCTAGCACACATTGTGTTAGTGAACCACGTTAAATTTGTGTTTGTTCGTGTTGGTTTGGATTATCGATTGCACGCTTCTGTTCTGACACTCTACCAGACCGTCATGCATCTTCTTATTGATTTGGCTTGACAGCCGCTACCAATGATCCATAGATTTATGAAGAGGCACCATCAAACTCAAGATGGGAAGAGGAAATTGAGGGATTCTGAGAGGACATCTGTGTGGACACTTACATATCCACTAACAAATGTAATTCCTATAAGATTGAAGTGGGTGTTCAGAACAAAGCCTAAAGAACATGGTGTAGTGGGCAAATACAATACAAGGCTTGTGGCTAAAAGGTATTCTCAAAAGGTTGGCATTGACTATACCTAAGTCTTTGATCATGTTGTAAGGTGGGATACAATTAGGATAGCTATTAGCTCTATCTGCTCATCATGGATTTAGTGTGTATTAGCTATATGTTAAAAGTGTCTTCATCTATGGAGAATTGACCGAAGATGTGTATGTTGAACCACAATGATTTGTGGTTGCTAGGGAGGAAAAAAGGTCTATAAGCTGAACACAACTCTCTATGGCTTAAATCAGACTCCAAGAGCTTGGCGCAAAAGAATTGAAGCATACGTCTTGAAGACTAGGTTGAAAGGAGCAATTATGAACATACTTTGTTCATATAGAGGGCTCAAGGTAAGATTTTGTTGGTTAGTCTATGTGTAGATGATATCATCTACATTCTGAAATGATTGAGAAGTTAAAAAGAATAATGAAAAGTGAGTTTGAAATTACTGATCTAGAAAAATACGTTGAAGGTGTTAAGATAACTCAAAATGAAGCTCGTATCTTCATATCTAAAAAAAGTACACCAAAGAGGTTCTAGAAAAGTTCAATCTACTTGAAGTCAATTGTGTAAGGAATCCAATTGCACTTGGTATGAATCTAACTAAGGAAGGAGATGAGATTCTAGTGAACCCAACTAAGTGCAAGCAATTAATTGGAAGTCTCTTTTATGTCCAAACAACAATACCAAACATTATATACTCATATAAAGAGCACCATTGGGTATGCTTTCTTTCTGATTGGAGGAGTCATTTTGTGGGTGTCCAAAAAGCATCAAATGGTCACTCTCGCTACCACTAAAGCATGGTTTGTTGCAGCTTCCTACTATGTTGCACATTGTACATGGCTCAGAAGATATTGGAACAAATGGGACGACAAAAGAGTGTGCATGGTTCTACAAAGGTTTACCATGACAATAGCTCCACGATCAAGTTGTCAAAAACCCTTCATGGTAGAAGTAATCACATTGATTGAACTAGTACACTGTATCACAAGAGAACAAGCGGATGATGTGATGACTAAAGCACTCAAGATTTACACATTTGTGCTGATGATATCCATGTTGGGAACTAAGGTTGTGAAGAAAAGTTCTGCAGAGAAGTAATCAAAGTCGAGGTGAACTTAATTGGAATCGATGAGAACTCAAGCTTGTTACTACTTCACTGGCTTCAGTTTAGGTGAATATTTATCAGCAGCAAAAAGAAGACATCAATAAGTGGAGCACTACTACTATGCTATATAGTATTGGTGCTTTAATGTACAACTTGAAGTTGTACCATAACATTAAGGGCTAATACCACTACAACACCCGAACTATCCGGAAAATGCCACTTGTGTCCTATTGTTTTCAATATTCCATCTGTGTCCTGAACTATTATTCCGTAGTGTTGACCAGTGTTGACCGTTAGTATTTAACAGAAAATCCAGTCAGCGCTGACGTGGCGTCTGACTTGGAATTTTCATTATCAATTTTCATTTAATAAAAAATACAAAATAAACAAATATAAAAACCTCCCAATCCCTTCTCCGCGTCTCCTCCCGCCGTCTGGTGGAACCCTCTGCCGGGAGCCCTGTCCGGGAAGTTGCCATCAACACCCAGATTCGGAACCTTAGTCGAATTCATGATGGGGGGGGGGGGGGTCAAGCTGAGAGGAACCGAAGGTCGTGGGGAAGGGAATCGAAGGTCGGGGGAGGGGAATCGAAGGTTGGGGAGGGGAATCGTCGTTCTCGAAGAGAACAGGGGCATGATTCCAAGATCTCATCGCCGCAAAGTTTCATCCCCACTCAGTGTTCATCGCCGTCGGCCCTCCTAACTCTCCTCTACCACCGCAACAACCTCCAAATCTGAAGAGATCCTAACCCATGGATGGCGAAGCTCCTCCGCTCCTCAAGCTCAGCGATTGGAGATCTGAATCTTCTGGTCCAATTCAGAGACGGCGGCGAGGTTTTGGGACACGGGAGGGCGAAGCTTATTGTGGAATGGAGAAGGTCGAGGGCGGCTGCCGATGCTGATGGAGAGATGAGGGGATTCACCTCGCTCTCTCCCTCGCTCGTCATCCTTCTCTCCATCCCCAGTCAAGCAAACCCCACATCATCGCTACCTCCGACTTAGAAACACCCGCGAGTAAACCCAACCTCTGGTCCCCACGAACACGCTCTAATTTCTTCTCAGACCGACGAGCCTTCCATCAACCTTCGTATTCCCATATTTCTAAGGTTCGAGATGCGGCGCCACTATCTTTTTGTGCTTCGACGGTTCCCGGCGACAATCCAGCCGCATCCACCTCGTCTCTTCCTTTCTTTCCCTCTTCCACACGGCGGTTCCCTCCTCACTTCCGTCATCGCTGCAAGAGCAGTCGACCATAACTTTGAAGTCGTTGAAGTATCGACGGGAAAGCACCAAGCAGAGAGTAGAGGGACAATCGACGAAATCAATGGAGATTTTTTTATTTGAATTTTGGGGTTTTAGAATATTATTTAGTAATATTCTTGAATTTAAAGGTTTTTCAATTTTTTATTTTCAAAGTTTTATATAATATAAATTAAAATTGTGAGGTGTCAATGACTTGGCACTGCCACTTCAGCAAAAGTCAATGTTAAGTTTACCGCCGTTTGGTCAACTGTTATCTTTAACGGTCAACGAAATTGGCAGGATACAAATGACACAAAATATAATAGTTCAGTATATGAATGGAATATTGAAAAGAATAGGATACAAGTGGCATCTTCGTCATAGTTCGGGTGTTGTAGTGGTATTAGCCCTAACATTAAATGTATAACTTTAGGTTGTACCATTAAGGAATTTGTATCTTTATGTTATGGTACAACTTTACAACTTGAAGTTGTACCATCACATAAAGGTACAAGTTCAAGTTGTACCATAAAAGAATTTGTACAAAAAGTATAGGTACAATATGAAGTTGTACCATAAGGTTAAAGGTACCATAAAGACAAAAACCTATAGCACCAATACTATATAGCATTGTAAAATTCCTACAAATGTTGAACCTTAACCACTTGCCTTATGGAGCAAAGACGTGAAGTCTTTATATTTGAAAAAGTTAATTCTGTCTTGTGGTAGATTTTAGTTTGGTCACTAAGTTATGTTTTGTATGAAAAGATTCTATTCGAGTTTATTGGTTATTTGGTTTGTTGAGTCAGAATTGCAGCTTGTTAGCAAATTAGTTTCTATAAGATATATAAAGGCAAAATATGGGTTGGAATTCTCTCATTTCAAATTTCGTGGCCCGAGAGTGATTATATGAAGGTCATTTTTGTCATTGCACCCACTTTATCTTTATATATTAAAAATGTTATCATTGGAGTTTGAACCCGGGTCAATTAAACAAAGAAAGAGCATTATAACCAACTAGGCTACATCTTACTTATTGTTATTTCTTTGATTAAACTCTAGGAATATGTTTGGTGATGATGTTTCTATATTTATATTTTATAGAATGAGATTAGTTCTGAAATCGGAACTCAAGTAGTATTGATTCAAAAATTAATATTAAATTGTATGTGTTGTTTAGTTTAGTGTAGACAAAATACAGAAGTGTAACCAAAACATGAACCTTTGTAACGAGTATAGCCATTTTTTTTGTGACAAATCTATACATAATATAATGATAAAATTGAAAAAATGAGAGTCTTCTTTTAAATTTTGTCGTCTGAGATTGATTCTACGAACCTCTTTTTTCGTCATAGTGCCAAATTTATCTTTATATTATGTGTAGATTTGTCATAAAAAGTTACTATATATGTCACGAAGACCCATGTTTTGGCTACACATATGTATTTTATCTAAACTGTACCATACATACAATTTAATATTTAATGTTTGAATCAATGTTACTTGAGTTCCGATTTCACAATTAATCAATTCTATAAGATATAATGATTTCAGGTAAAATATCCTTCTTACCTGGTTGAAGAAGCTCTTTCTGTAAGATATATTCAATGTTTTAATATTTTTCATTTCCAATTTCGTGAAACGAGACTGATAGTAGGAAGATTATTTTTTATCTCCATTATTTATCTACTTCCTATAAAAAAGTATCAACATCTAGATTTGAACCATGGTCGCTTAAAAAAAAAAAGCACAACTAATTACACTAAACAAATTTTTTTATCTTCTTGAATTGTAAGAATACACTTAGCGAAGATTTGAAAATCATAGGAACTTTTCATCATGGTTAGCTAGCCTATTAAATATTCTGAAAAGCAAAGTTTAATACGTGATTTATAATCTTTTTATAACCTATAAAATGACGGGTAATCTTACAATTGCAACAAAAATTTCAATGCTTGAAATATTGCATATCGAATTGCAGTATTGAATATGCAACAGAGATGTAGAATTCTTTAATTAATATAAATTTTCAGAAACTACTACGAAGCAATAATATTTTGTACAAACTATAGGTGACTGGTTCTCTAAAATTTTAGGTTGATTAATTGCTAAACTTTAAACCTCTTGCTAATCTGGCATGAATGGATCCGACAATAATGAGAAGATATAAGGTTTAATGTGATGTTCATTTTGCCATTTTTGGGTGTGTTGATCAATTTAAGGGCATTAACATATAAATGAGTTATAATTAACCTCATTATATAATTTTTACTCTTTATAATAATTAATTTAATCTTAATATTTGTGATGTTTTAAATATTTTATGTATGATTTGGAGATATACTTATTATTTGTGGCATTGCTGGTAGTTGGTTCAAATGTAGTATTTTATCATGTAGTCAAAATCAAATACTGGGTGCATTTATGATTGTTTTTTATCTTGGTGTTGTGAATAGGTAAAAACTTAATTATTAGAATGCATGTAACTATACGCAGGCACATGATCGAGCTAGCATGACACAGTTAGAGCATACCATGAAGACAATGTATATGGATAGACCCTATACAAGTATGAATGCTTCATGGGTCGTACCTGACTTAAACTTCAAGTGCTCGCGCACAAGTGCGAGCACCACATAGTCTATATTGGCGCACTCATGTTTCATGGAGAAATGTGCCATTTGAGAGGAATAAGCGGCCATTTGTTATCCAGGTTTCAGGTTCTCTGATTCACATTATCGATTGTGAATGGAGAAGAAGCATTTCGAACACAAAATTGGATAAGTAATTGGGATGTTTCTAGGTTTCTCTCAATTCCAGGCGGTGGGAAGAAAGATGAAGGAAAGGGGGAGAGTGGTGAGATACAAAGCTCAGAGAGAGAGAGAGATAGAGATGGAAGAACAAATGGAAAAACAAAGAGGATTATCGAGGACCCGCTGGGCAAGTGTAGCCATCACTGTCTCATCCATCCTAATCCACACCTCTATGATATGACCTCGAGGATCTAAGTCTTTGAGAATTATTAACTTAGTGGTGGAAGGGTAATACCTGCTGGCATCTCAAAGCAAACCCGCCCTTCGGCGACTAGAGAAGGAGTTCGCCAGATCGATCTTCTCTCCCTCCGCTACAGGCAGAAGAGGCGGACTTTAGCAGCTTCGTTCGATGGGGAGGTCGTGTTTGGGGGAGGCTGGGAGAAGAACGATGGGAGCTGGGGTTAGCAAAACAACGTCGTTGATCTAAGTGAACAAAAGGAAAAAAATGTGGCCAAGGGATTCGAACGCTCGGCTAATTAAAAGGAATGGGGGCATAACCCAATGGGCAACAGGGGGAAATCCGTCTCTCATTTTCCAGCAAAGGATGTTTTATTGATTCCGCCCAACTACCACTTTTATTCCCCATGATTTTTTCCAACGATAATGAAATTGCAAGTGAACATATTTATTACAATTTTTATTTTATTTTTGTTGTCACGCCAGAAAACAGAAAACAAAATGGCAAGTGAAAGAGGCATAAGAGAGAGTGAGAGGATATATTTAAACGAGGGGGAAAATGTGGTAGTGTGAAATAATTGCCCTTCTGCTTTGATTAGTGGCTATTTTATGGCCCTGTTGAGTTTTGATTTTATTTTAGGAGATGACATTATATTTGATATATTTTTTCCATTCCAATTAAGGGGTTGTTTGAAAGTTGCGATTGTTTTGTTGAGATTGTTACAATACATGTATTGTTTAGAATGCATCATTTTTTATATTTTTTAGTAGAATCAATACATGGATTACATCTGTGATGTTACCGAAACTATCAATAAAATGAGTGATTGTTTTATCTCAACTTTTAGTTGTTATTGTTGAGATAGTTGAGTTGGGATTGTTTTGTCTAAACTTTTAGCTTATGTGACATACATAATGCATCTAATCCGACAATACATATATAATATTATACATGCATTCACAATAAAATATCTATTTAACAATCGCAACTTCCAAATTACCCCATAAAATCCTACACTAGTATTATCACTTGGATGATTTTTTTCTTAATACGATTATGGTAATTTATGAGATTTAAGGGTATTTGATCATGTCAATATTTTAGTTGTTTTTTATTTAAAGTTTAAATTGAAAGATCGAAAATACTGGCGGTTCAATCATAAAACTTCACACCATAGGCTAAATCGAAAGTTGATATTTAGCAATATGAAATGGTTGAACCACAGTTAAATTATGATTACAATATAAAATACTCTGCTACCAAATTTTTTGATACTATTGTAATCATTTGGTTCAAACAATTCTTTTACACTGGTGGAAACAAAGTTTTAAGGCACATTTTGAACTATCTATTGCAAAAAAGCATAAGTCAGTTAGCGATAATGAGAATATGGATCACATTCAACCCAAAAGACACTTTGCCACTTCTATATTTTTAAAATAAATGTATGTTACTTATACCCTTGCTCATTCATCAACTTAATGAGTACTATATATTTCATGTAATATGATTTTCATATGTTTTTATTTATATGTCTGCGATCTGAGAATAATTTTGGAAATCCATACACAACACATTGTCCAACTAACTATTAGCGACAATTTAACATCATGTCCTATATATTTCAAATCATGCAACTTCAGATTCATTACCAATGGTATGGTAAAAAAGAATGTTCTCTATTGGAAAAAAACTTAAAGGACATACTAAACTCTATGAGAGACATTTTCTTTCATCTTAAAGGTTGATTATGTATGTATTACGAGAAACAACTCTAATATTCAACTATATGGTTTAATTAAGTAATAGATGATAATTAGTTATATATATTTCTTTTTTCATTCATTTATTATAAGTAATGCTTATATTATATTTTTCTCTTTTCATGGAGGTCTAAACACATTAAGCATAGTTGGATCACTTTCAAAAACGTTATGTGCATAACTAAGTTAGAAAACAATCATTTTGTGCATTTCAAATCCTCTATTATATATCCATTATTATATATCATATTTCTCGACAAAATTCTTCCGGCCAACGGGCCGGGTCCGGTGCTAGTAGTAATAGTAGCTCAAATCAAGGGATAGAGGGACAATATGATTAACAGAGGTCGGAATCCAAGGCCATTGTTATTGTACTTATAGTTCATATGATTCACACAATAAGACTTTTGTTCGTTTGCCCTTAATTCGAGTTGACACAAAGTTATAGATGCAAAGTCTCTGTGAGAGGGTAATCACAAATGAGCCTTTTTAATTGATACATAATCCTTTGGCCTCTCACAAAATCGAAAATCTTCAGATCAAGAAGAAAAACCGACTCGTCTATAGTAGCTATTAACACCATTGAGCTTCAAAACTTTCAGATTCTTTCAACTCTCTGAAAGCGAAAATTCACAACTACCTTCCCCTTGGAGTTTAAGATCTATTTCGTCAAGCAGAGACCCAGACCCCAATTCCATGTCAAACGATATAGTTGACCTCAACCGTAAGAGGAAACGACATATCAAACGGGATTCTTGTGATATCTCATATTTAGGGATGGCAACAAAACCCGAACCCACAGGTACCCACTCGACCCAATCCGGTCAACGCGGGTAAAATCCATATTGACGGGTTTTGGGTCGGGTTTGGGTTTAAACCCGTTCACTATTCACCGGATTGGATTTGGGTTTAGTTAAACTCGCCCCATGGATACCCGCCCGACGCCCACACCCATATAATTAATTTTCTCGGTATATTTAATATTCTAAACAACTAATCTTATTTATGTTTGTGGAGACATGTCTAATTTTTTTTTTCTAATTGTGTAGAATGAAGTTGATGTTATCGAGTGGAGAGTGAACAAACTTAATTGAAAAGAAGAAGCTTTCAATTAATCATGTTATTTATGGATAATTTGTGATTTGCTTAAATTTTCTTGAGTTTTCTAGATTGGTGTTGAACAATTTGTATAGTTAATTTGTGATTTGCTTGAATTTTCTAGAATGGTGTTTTATATATGGATAATTTGTGTTGAGAGATTGATATTTGACTTTAATTTTGATAGGAACTTGTTATTATAAATTTTTTACGACAAAAACCCATGGGTACCCATAAACCCGCGGATACCCAGCGGGTTGGGTTGGGTTTGAGTTTTTCAAACCCAGTGGGTTTTACCCCGGGTTTTATTCACGGATAAACTCATGGGTTTGGGTAGGAATGGCAATGGGGCAGGTCCGGGCCGGGTATCTCGATACCCATACCCGCCCCGTGGCAGGTCGGGTAATTTCTCATGGGGCGCGGGTCGGGGCAGGTCGACCCAATGGGTATGTAATTTATGGGAAAATCTTTAAAAATATTCATTATTTTCATTAAAAGACCAAGAAATGAATCATAATATGATAAATTGTAGTTGAAGTATTGGAGAAATTGAGGTTTTCACTTATTTACAACTTTATTATAGCTAAATAATGAGGTAATATGAGGAAAATTCTAAGTAATTTGACTAAGATTACATGTAACTTAGACAAGAACGGACCCGCCCCAAAACAAGTCAAACAGGTCAGGTAAAACCGGTCAGGTCGAAATTGCCATCCCTAGGTTTGGGTTTGGCAAAACCCGACCCAACCCGACCCATCGCCATCCCTACTCATACTGAATTGGTCGTAATTAATTCAAATGCAAACCAAGCAAAGGATAAACAACAACAGTGGCTGTAGTTTAGTGGTTAGAATATCACGTTGTGGCCGTGATGACCTGGGCTCGAATCCCAGCAGCCACACTGTGAATTTTTTTCCCCCATTAACCAATGGCTTAGCTCTTCTGGGTTCTCTGCCCCATGAGCACATTCCTACAGTGTTATTGAATGGTTACTCGTTTTCTTCTTCTTGTAGAGTAGCTCTTACGGGTTTTGATCGACGCGAAAACCATCACAGATGTCCTGGAACAGACCATAAACAGATGGTATCTCCAGAAGGACCCCGATGGCGGAATCAAATGGCCAGAGATGAGAGAACGCCGTAAAAATTTATGGGCCTTTCCATTGAAAAAAGATGACATTACATCCAAGAGCATAGAAACGAGGCTTTTGAAACACTCGTCACAGAGAGTATAATGCCATTCATATACCGCTAGATTCATTGCACAAGTTTCCCTTGCAGTAAGACTAACTTGTGGGTAGTTTCATCAAGTCATTTAACTTGTCTTTTCGTTGGTTGTATGGTTTCTGCAGGCTGCTAAGTCCAGGAGCAGCAGCATTCACCCGATATCCGGTCACAGTAGTGAAGACGGCTAGAGATGAATACAAACAATGAACGCTTAGGCAAGGATTCTCAGATTCCTTTATAGGAGACACCAATGAAGCACCATATAGCTTACAGCATCACAAGGCTAAACTGGATGCTTAACTTTCAGATCAGCATTCTGCACCTTGCTACTAGATCAGCATTAAGCAGAACCAAGACTGGGCATTCGAGACTATAGAACCCCATGGACCATGGTCATGCACCTGGAAGAACCTTGGACAAAATTACGTAACCGATAACACAACCATTTAAACTAACAGGCGTTAAAGTACCTTGCAATGACAGATCTTACGTTGACCGTAACCAAACTCTGTTAGAATCACAACCATCAGGATAGCAGCAGTTTTTAGAGAGGACATAAAAGTTTCGAAGAGTATGTCATCCCTCCTTATGATCCAACCCAGAAGAAAGAAAATAATAGACTGGAGACGTACCCTGATGAAAGAGTCAATACCATGTCTTCAGAAAATTCACGAGTCTTGAGACCAACAGTGGAAGTGTAAGAGAATATTGTCAAAGCCAATGACCAACCATTGACAGTCATCAGGGTAACAACTGCAGATGTTTTTCCAAGTTGATACCAGAATGCTTCCACCAAGTTCCAACCAGGACTGCAGTTCTAGCATATTGTCACAATTGACAAACTCCACTGGTGCAGAACCAAAAATAGAATGAGTAATCATCCCACTCGTTAGCCCGAACCAAGCAGAACACCAAATCCAGCATCTTGCCACTGATGCAACACGAAAAAATATCTTTCGACCTTTACTTGTGTTACAAGTTCCCTTGCAGTAGCGATCATTGCAAGTCCCCCTCCCGTTTAGGACTTTTAGTTAAAACTAGACATCACTCATTTTGCTGTTGCTTTCATTTGAAACTTGAAAATAGAGATGCTGAATTTGGTCCTCCTCCCAATTACTGTGCTGCAATGCAGCCTTCCAACTGAAGCATCTTCAAAAAAATGGAGCTTGCTTTTTGGGTCTGCAGACATTGTGAGCATCCAGACAGTAGGTTTGTATGCATCTCAACAACACAGGAAATTTCTGTACACGAATCCTCCCCAATTGATCCTACTAACCATTATCAGGTTGAATTGGACCCCCAAATCATTTATCCTATAACAATTGAGCAAGGAGCTACTCATGTGAGGGGGTTAGTTCGTTTCAACGTATGCATCTCAACTCAATCTTGAATGTGTAAACATGACCAGACAGCAAGTTGTGCTCACCGACCTTTCCCTGTAATGTAATCTCTCAGTTCAGAATTACCTTCTATAGACCAAAGACCAACTTCATGAAGATCACCTCGCTTCCAGCACAGGTTGACTGTGAATCCTCCTCGTGCCTTTAATCCTTTGAGGTAGGCCATTAGGCCACTTGTCCCGACTCCGAGGGAGAAATTAAATGGCCTTCGGAGAGCTCCGAACCAGCATTTCAGCGACTGTCACTGCTGCCCAGAAACTGAAAGCAGGAAAATCTCAGATATCCAAAATCAGTCATGAAGCTAGAGCAAATTACAGGGCAATGAAGTTTAGCAGCAGCTTACCCAAAGTTGGCATCAATATGGAATGGTGGATTAGAGCATCAAGGAGTTTTCGAATAAGTTGGTCGTCCTTTCTTACCAAGACCTGTTCACGGAAAGGGCAGGAATCAACTTTAGAATGAAGGCTTTGGCCTTACCTTATCCATTCATTCCACACTGACACACCTAATCCTTTTGCTTCTGACGTGTCCTTATCCAAATGACTCTGATCAGATCCATACAAAACCACAAGCATCTCTCAAAAAAGCTTCGAAATCTCCGCATCTCACTCACTCACTCACTCCAGCTCCAGCGGCTCAAAGATGACAACTTTTGCTCTGCTTTCATCTGTCGCGCCCCATAAAGCTCAACTCATCGGATGCAGCAGCAGCAGCCACAGCGGTTTTGCTAGTGCTGCAACCCCAAAGTTCGCGTCTTTTCCGAGCAACAACAACAACAACAACAACAGGAGAAGATCCTTGACGGTTGTTGCAGCCGTCGGCGATGTCTCGCCTGACGGCACAGTCTACCTGCTCGTTGGCGCCGCCACTATCGCCCTGCTAGGAACTGCCTTACCTGCATTCTTCACCCGCAAAGACACGTAATTGAAGCACCTCCAAAAACCCTTTTCCTATTGTTGGATTTTAATTTGAGAGAGTCGGAGATTCTCGCTTTCTCGGTTCTGAAAGGCTCTGCTTGCTGCTGTTACAGGTGCCCGGAGTGCGATGGAGCAGGTTTCATTCGGAAGTCGGCGGGGACCTTGAGGGCAAATGCTGCGAGGAAGGACTTGCCCCAGATTGTTTGCCCCAACTGCAATGGGCTCGGCAAGCTCAACCAAATCGACAAATAACCAAACTCCATTGACTAAGATTCTTGTATAAGCTTCTCCTACTTCTTTCCTCCTCTCTGCCTACCAGTCATTTTGTATGATTTCTGCAGACTATTGTGTACATTCAGAGCAATTTCAGCTGCTTGTGTTGAATTAGAATGAATATATATGGATTTTCTTCTCTGTTTTCCGATATATATTGGGAGAGGGAAACTCGGATAGTGTGGCAGACATGTAGTGAAACAATGGATCCTGATTCCTGAGATTGCAAGATAATGGACATACTCCCATGGTGACGACAGATCCTGCCTCCATATTCCCTGCAAATTAGTTACCTGGGTTTCTGGCCTGGAAAAAGAGATGAGCAAAATATCGACCAAAAGCTCCCCCCAAGGATGGAACTTCATCAGTTTGGAAGGATTTCACCCTATCTGCAGTTGATACTCCTGGAGCACTCGTGGAACCATTAGAAAGCTGCAGTCAAACACCATGAAAGAGACACTGATGATCTTCTACGTGCCGTGCTCTTGGATCGTCATAACCCAAATTCTTTAGTGAATTCAACGAGTTCCAGCAATCTGGAGTGGGATCCTTATTGGAATCAACAGGGCTAATGGAAGGCCCCTTCGGACGAAGATGAAGCCACCAGAACCAACAGTGCCCTATCAGCTCCATCAACCTTCAGCTTCCTGCTCTCCAAAAGACTTATTACTGCTGTTCCACCAATCTGTAACTCTAGCATAGCAGTGAACTGAATCCCCTTTGGATTTCTCATGCAACTTCCTCCGAGTACAATCTGATTTTGGCCCTCTACATGTGAGCTATGCTTCATCTTGCTGTCCAGGTAAAGAATGAATGATAGGGACCCTGGTCTGCTTCCAAGCGCTTGATAGACCTTCAATGACGGTCAAGGAAGTAATAATGAAACAACCAAAGTGTTCAAAGTTGCTATTGAGCATGAAAATGCACTGACAGGGACTAACCCTGGTGCAGAAAAAGCATAGGTTGAAACAAATTATTACTTGACATATGCATGCTTACCAGAAAGGCAAGAAGAAGGGCATCCTGGTTAAGGTTACATATTTTGGTTTCTTTCTTCGAACTCTCTTGGAGGCATTCTGTGTCTGTAGACTGAAATTGAAGTAAGAAGGGCATCCTGGTCAAGAATCAAGATACACGTTCCTCTCAAATTCTCTAGACTCACCCTCAATGTGACTTTTAGTTTCTGCAGATGCTGCGTTCTGTTCATAGTTTCACTCTCTAATGGCCCTGTTCCTAAGATTTTAGTATGCACGGGAAGAATCATATCTCTGAATTATCAACACCAAAAATTATTTGAATTCTAAACACTGACAATTTGTTCGAAATCTCAACAAGCGACGGGGTACCTTGTAACAACATTTCTTGCATTCATCGTAACAATGCATCAGTCACTCCTGCGTACGATCCCTTCCTGAAAGCAACATTGCATCATCTAGGGCAAATCTTTTCCCTTTCCAAATACTCATCCAGTGGCTTACTTGAGCACAAAGTTACGATTTACGATGACACCTTCATTCCACTTATCTGCAATTCTACAATCCTAACTGAGCCAGACCAAGATACCATCAGATCAGACTATAGCATGCAAACAAGAGGAGCAAATTTCAAAATAGCCACAAACCGAACTTGATAAGAAACCAAACAGAGCCAATTTGATTGTTCACAGGGCCACCGAGGCCATCACAGTACTGAAAAGAAAACTAAAATAACCGAGGAGCCATTAAGCATATACCCCACAGCCGACCAGAAACTTAAAAAACATCTTTCAAACACTCATCAGAAACCAACAACAACCTTCAACACATTAGACACAACACACTTCAGAAGCCACCACGGAGACGAAGGACCAAGTGCAGAGTAGACTCTTTCTGGATATTGTAATCCGCCAAGGTTCTTCCATCTTCAAGCTGCTTTCCTGCAAAGATAAGCCTTTGCTGATCTGGTGGGATACCCTCCTTATCTTGAATCTTAGCCTTCACATTGTCAATGGTGTCGCTGCTCTCAACCTCGAGGGTGATGGTCTTTCCAGTCAAGGTCTTGACAAAAATCTGCATCCCTCCCCTTAGACGCAGGACCAAGTGAAGGGTTGACTCCTTCTGGATGTTGTAGTCAGCCAATGTCCTTCCATCCTCGAGCTGCTTCCCGGCAAAGATAAGCCTCTGCTGATCTGGGGGGATTCCTTCCTTATCCTGGATCTTAGCCTTGACATTATCAATGGTATCGGAGCTCTCAACCTCAAGGGTGATGGTCTTTCCAGTCAGGGTCTTCACAAAAATCTGCATACCACCCCTCAAACGGAGCACAAGATGGAGAGTTGACTCCTTCTGGATGTTGTAATCTGCCAGAGTTCTCCCATCCTCAAGCTGCTTCCCAGCAAAGATGAGCCTCTGCTGGTCTGGAGGGATCCCTTCCTTATCCTGGATCTTGGCCTTAACGTTGTCAATAGTGTCACTGCTCTCAACCTCGAGAGTAATGGTCTTGCCAGTCAATGTCTTCACGAAGATCTGCATACCACCTCTCAGACGGAGAACCAGGTGAAGGGTGGATTCCTTCTGGATGTTGTAATCGGCCAACGTCCTGCCGTCCTCAAGCTGCTTCCCGGCGAAGATCAACCTCTGCTGATCTGGAGGGATACCCTCCTTGTCCTGGATCTTAGCCTTGACGTTGTCAATGGTGTCGGAGCTCTCGACCTCCAAAGTAATCGTCTTTCCAGTCAAAGTCTTGACGAAAATCTGCATTCCTCCACGAAGACGGAGAACCAGGTGCAGGGTCGACTCCTTCTGGATGTTGTAATCGGCCAACGTCCTGCCGTCCTCGAGCTGCTTGCCGGCGAAAATCAGCCTCTGCTGATCCGGGGGAATTCCCTCCTTGTCCTGGATCTTAGCCTTGACGTTGTCGATCGTATCGCTGCTCTCGACCTCGAGAGTAATGGTCTTTCCCGTCAAGGTCTTGACAAAGATCTGCATCTGTTCGATCACAACGAAAAGAAAACCCTAATTCAATAACCCCGACCGAGATTAATATGAACCAACGAAAACCCTCAATTGGATTAGGCTCAGAGATCACAATATTACCGCATACGATCATATCACCATCAGAAAGAACCCTAGTTCGCAGATCAACGTTCAATACAAACAAAAACTAGAACTGGACGAACAGGAAGAGATTGATGAATAGATCGGATTCGGTTGTTACCTTGAGAAACTGGGAGAAAGCTCTGAATCGGAGATCTGATTATGGAGAGATTTTTGAATGAATTGTGATTCAGCGGATGGCGAAACCAGAGAATTGGGAGTCGATTTATAGAGGGGAATTGGCCGACCTAGTTGAGGAGAACCAATTAATTAACAGAAAAAGGCGAAACGGGCAAGGAATGACGTGTTTCTTTTCTGCGAGTTGAGTAGTTGACACGCAAAGAGTTTGATTGCCGTCCGGCTCCTTCTCGAACCTTCCTTTCTCTTGTCCAAGTTGTCGAATCGATTTACAGCTGTGTTGTGTAAAATTGTCCTGTCTGACCGAAAAATCCATTAACCGGAGTCTAAGTCGGTACATGGTTATAGTTGTATGAAATGTTTAAATCATGATTAAACTATTGTTTTAACATAAATACTCATATCACTGACTTTTTTGGTACAACCTCCACTGTCTCCCCATCTCTCTTTCTCCCCCCTCCCGCTCCAACAAACGCCAGTCGATGCAGAGCAGAAAGGAGCGGGGCTGCAGTGGTGGTATCTGCTCTGTCTCGCGACTAGGGATGAGAAACCTAACCGGAAATTAGGGTACCCGCCAAAACCGAGCCGGTCAAACCGGACAGAAATTGCTTTGACCGGGTGGCGGGTCGGGGACGGGAAAACCCGACTTTGGTGAGCGACGGTGATGGAGCGGACACGGATTCCTTACTATCCACCTCGATCACCGATCCGTACCCGCCCCGATCTCCCCAAATCCCTTACTCCATATTCCATATCACCATTCATCAATCGTGATTCCAGTACACAATTACTAGCCAATTATCACCTTCCCAATTCTCCCAAAGAGTCTTGAATATCAACGATTCTTCTTTCCTTTATCACCTTCCGAAGGCATAGAGATGCAAAAGTTTCTCCCACTCCCACAAGCCGCTTAATCCCAAATCCAGTTCATATTCCCCCGAGAAATTTTCGATTTCCATTGTGTCAGCATTATCTGCACCAAATCTTTCCCCATTTCTCCAAACCCTAATCAAGATGCATGCCTCAATCTCAGCACGAGCAGTAGCAGCTATAAATAGCTGCTCACAACTTCAAATTTCACCCATCGCCATCGCCTCCCTCCAAGCTTCAATCCCCTCACTCCCAATTTCTCATCGGCAAACAACAGCAGTGGTAATTGGCACAGCGAAAGCAGCGATTCAGCGAGGGTCTTGGGTTGGCTAGGTGGGTTTCTTACTTTCTTTTCTTATTTGCAAATAAGTTTCTTAGGTTCTGATGTTCTATAATTAATCGATGCTCTGTCTTTGTGTCATGTGTGCAATAGGTGATAGAAGAAACCTTAAATCAACAGCAACATAGAGGACTTGAGGTGAGTTTCGTTTCTCATTTTCATTTTTTAAAATATGTTTCTGTGGTTTGGTTCTGTAATTTAGTTCAAGTTCATTGATGTTAGTTTCTTTCATTGAAAATCAAGTCTGCTAGTTATCTCAAATTCTCAATCCATGCTTTGTGTCTGTGTGTCATGTGTGCAGCGAGTGATAGAGAACTCGATTCAGCAGCAGAAAGGATTCGAGGTGGGTTTTTTCTCATTTTCAAATTCTGTTTCTGTGGTTTGGTTCTATAATTAAGTCCATGTTCATCGACATGGGTTTCTTTCATTTTAAAATCAAGTCTGCTAGTTATCTCAATCCATGTTGTGTCTGTGTGTCATGTTTGTAGTGGGTGATAAAAAACTCGATTCGGCAACAACCGAAAAGGACTCGATTCTGTGTGCTAGTTTTTCAATTTTAAATCTTGTTTCTATGGTTCTGTAATTATATAATCTATGTGGGTATCTTTAATTTGCAAATCAGTTCTAGTAGTTATCTTAATCTATGCTATGTGTTTGTGTGTCATGTGTGCAGTGAGCTATTGTGAGAAACAGCTGCAATGTCTGACGTATCACCGCAAAACCAAGGTCCTCAACCACCCATTGCACCTCCAATTGTGAATGGAAATGATGGTAAAGAGGCGGCAGCTGCTGCTCAACCTCAAAATGGAGAAGCAGTTCCTCAACCTCCTCCTGCCCCTCTTGTTATTGATGAGGAGGTAATTGACGTAGCCAAGCTCAAGAGTCTGGTTTGGAAACATTTCAAAAAGATTAAGGTCAATAACCTATGGAAGGCTAAGTGCAACTATTGCAGAAAACTATTAGGAGGGGATTCTAGTAATGGCACATCTCATTTGAAAAATCATACCTCTAGTTGTCTGCATAAGAAGATTCACGAAGGCAGTCAAAAGATTTTAGGGCCTAACTATATGGCTAAAGGGAGAAAGGACTTGCTTGCTTCTGCTTTTGATGCCAGTACTTCTAAGAAAGAACTTGCAGTAGCTATCATAATGCATGAATACCCTCTCTCGATGGTTGATCATCTCTATTTCAAGAGGTTTGTGTGTTCGCTTCAGCCCATGTTTAGTGTTCCTAGTAGGAACACTATGAAAAAGAGATCTTATGTGTTTATGAGAATGAGAGGAGGAAAATTCAGAAGGTAATTGGTGATAACAAAGGAAGGATTGCTATTACAACCGATTTGTGGACTGCAAGTAACCAAAAGAAAGGTTACATGTCTGTAACAGCGCATTACATTGACAATTCCTGGATTTTGAGGAGTCATATGCTAAGGTAAACTAGTTTATTGTTCATTTATGGATTTTTAACTCTGCCTTTGCAATTGATAGACATCTAATCCTTTGTTTCTGTGTTTGTTTTTTGGGACAGGTTCATCTATGTGCCTACTCCTCATTCTAGTGATAGACTTGCATCGGTCTTGGTCAATTGCATGCTCGATTGGAATATCGACACAAAGGTATCCACTATCACACTGGATAATTGTAGCACAAACGATGCAATGATCTCCAAAATTAAGAAAAAACTGGTTTTATCATATCTGTTGAGGGAGGGTGCACTTCTTCACATGCGGTGCTCGGCTCATATATTGAATCTGATAGTCAAAGATGGATTAGATGTTGTGAAGGATGGTATTGAAAGGATTAGGGATAGTGTGTCTTATTGGTTGGCCACACCTAAAAGACTTGAGTTTTTTCAAGAGACTAGTAAACAATTGCGTGTTCCATGTGAGAAGATATTGGTTTTGGACTGCCCTACAAGGTGGAATTCAACTTTCCTAATGCTGGTGTTTACACCATAAATTTTGTCTTGTACCACATTGGTGAGTTACAAGATAATCAAGGAGTTTATAAGGCTACACTCATTATAACAATTAATGTTGTTTAAATTGGGCCTTATGGATATTGATTTTAAACCCAAGTCACTAGCTCATTAATGAGCATGGACATGATTCAATAAGGGACATGGGCCTTACGTAAGAGGCCATGCCATGCCACGAGATGGCATTAAAATTTCTAAGTATGAGAAGTCCATAGCCATGAATGAAGAGGCCATGCCGCCCCATGACCAATGCCTAATGACTGAAAAATAAACTAAGTCTGGAAGAGGTACATGCCACTTCAAGGAGAAGCACATGTTGCTTCATGAGAAGGGGCATGGACGCGAGACAAGATGAGACGTCCACTTCACGAGAAGGGGCATGGACGCAAGAAAAGATACTAAGTATGAGAGGGCCATGCTGTGTCACGAGCAGGGCCACAGACGTGACTGCGAAGTCCATGGCTGCGAATGAGGAGGCCATGTCGCCTCATGATCCAAAATATACTAAGTCTGAGAAGGTCATGCCGCCTCACGAGAAGGGTCATGTGCATGATTAAGAGGTCCATGGCCGTGTCATGTGATGGCCATGGACGCGAAGCAAGAAGCGTTAGAAATGATTGAAAATACTAAGTATGGAAAGGCCATGCCGCCTCATGAGAGGGGCCTTGTGCATGATTGAGAAGTCCATGCCACTTCACAAGAGTGGCCATGGACACGAATGAGAAGGGCGTGGTGGTGGAGCACTATATAATGAGTAAGTCCCAAGTGGGCCATGTACATGGGTAAGAAGTCCATGGCCATGAGACAAGATAACCATGACCCCCTTTGCGAGACACCACATGCTCGTCAAAAGACTAGCATGGCACGAGATTCAGAACAAGACTAGGCGAGGCAAGCTATACTCCAAAACCCACGACGGTTCCAAGAGAGGCACCTAGGCGGTTGAAGGAGTAACCACCACTCTGAGGAAGCAGGGAGCGGTTCTTTTTGGGAGTTATCCAAGAGGCGGTTTTCTACCGAAGAAGGGGGAGCGGTTCTTTGTAGCAGTTATCCAACAAGCGGTTTTCTATGGCGGTTACCTCCTCGGGGCTATAAATAAGAGGATGGGTCGACAGAGACAGAGGTTCCAAAACCAACACTCTGACACACATGTCAAGTTTATCCTTTACCTTTTCTCTATAATGTAGCCATAGATGTAGTTCGTAGTTTGGAGCTCTCGCCGAACCTCCATAGGAGTAGAAGTAATTTAATTTAGATCTCGTTCCCAAAAACCATCAATCAAACACCCTCGTTCGAACTTTGTTTGAAGAGGTGTGAGCCGTGTCTTAGTAATCGTTTCCCAAAGAAGTCACAGGTGCAATCCATCTCAATTCAACCCAAGAAGTTTTCTCGCCGGAAAACAGCTGGCCATTGCTATTCCTTACAAAGAAGTGTTTAATAGGTTGAAACAGCGTGACCATCAGTATGATTGTTTGCCTTCAAATGATGATTGGTTGTTTGCTTCGATTGTATGTGAGAAGCTGCAATGTTTTACTCTGGTTTCTGATCTATTTTCGGGGTCCAAATATCCAACTGCGAACCTGTTTTTTCCTCGTATCTGTGAATTGAAGATTAGAATCTGTGAATGGATGTTTGATTCCAATGAGATTATTCAGCGTATGGCTGAATCGATGTGGGCAAAGTTTAACAAATATTGGGAAGTTATCCAGAAGATTTTGGCTGTTGCTATTGTGTTAGACCCACGGTATAAACTTGACATTGTCGAGTATTATGCTCAAAAATTGGGTCTAGATGGTAGTTCATCATTGAGTGCTAGTGACATAAGAAGAATTTTGGGAGATTTGGTGGTTGAATACCAATCAAGGCTGAATGGTAATGGTAATAATCTTGCTGTTGGTAATGATCTGCTTGCAAGTTCTAGCAATTCAGATCAAGGTTTTGATTTGTTTGTTAGTCAAAGGAAGAAGTCTAGGATCACTTCTGTTACAGCTGAGTTAGATACCTATTTGAATGAGGAGATCTTGCCTCGTACTTCGGATTTTGATATACTTCTGTGGTGGAAGATCAATGGTCCTAAATACCCCATCTTGCAAGAGATTGCAAGAGATATTCTTGCTGTTCCGGTCACTTCTGTTGCATCAGAATCCGCCTTCAGTTTTGGAGGTCGACTATTAGATCCTCATAGGAGCAGGCTGCATCAATCTACCGTTGAAGTTCTAATGTGCACGAGGACTTGGCTGCAAGCTAATGGTAATTCTGTTCAATGTTTAGTTTAGTATGTTCAATACTCATTAGCACAACTTTCTGCATGAATTAATATTTTGTTGATTGCTGTTTTTGTTCAAGTAGAGGGGGGCAGCGATGATGGTGAAGGGAATCTGGAGGGTTGCTTCTCTTCCTTGAGAGAAACTCGCATGGTGCAAGAAGAGGCACAATCTGAATCGCAATTCTGGAAGGTTTATTCTCTCGTAATGCTTTTATTTTCTTATACTAACAATCGCACCTTTGTAATTTACTAAGTTTATTGTTGTTAATGTAGATAATGCTCCAAGGAACAGGACATATAATCTAGATGATCTTGATTACCTTCTAGGCATTGGATTTTGCTGTGATAGTGTGGTGAGTCATGGAGAAGTACTGTTGGTTTATAATTGAGTTTATGTTGTGTTATAATTGCTAAAACTCATGCATGCTTGGTCAATTACAGAAGGTTGCTGACTTGCTGGTTTTGATGAGGCTAAGTTTAAAGAAGAAGGTTGCTGTTTTTGATGATGCTGAGTTTAAAGAAGAAGGTTGCTGGTTGATGCTGCTATGTTTTAAGAAGAAGATTGCTGGTTGTGAGGCTGTTGTCTTCTGAGTTTTAAGAAGAAGGATGCTGGTTTTGATGTTGCTGAGTGATGCTGGTTTTGATGTTGCTGAGCTGCTGCAGATTAGCACTTTATCTACTAGCTTTCATTTTGATTCATTTTGAGACTTTTAGTTGAGTAGTTGAACTATAACTATTTCAGAATTCAGATTGAGTTTGAGTTGGATATTTATCCTAGGTTGCTATTTCATTGTTTGGATAATTGAGTGTCGGTTTGATCAATGATCATTTCAGAATTCATATTGAGTTGCATACTGTTGTTGTCATGCTGGGTTTGGGTGTCGATTTGTCCATTCTATTTCTTCATTTGTCTGTTTTATTTATCTATTAAAAGCTGAAAAATCGGGTCTGGGCGGGTGTCGGGTAAATCCGTACCCCGGGTGCGGGCGGGGGGCGGTGAGACTTCTCCCCCCGAGTGGATCTAGCGGGCAGGGTTAATGATACCCGGGGAGCAATGACGGGTGGGCTTCGGATATGGGGTAACCGTCCCCGATCCGGCCCGTTGCCAACCATACTCGCGACTCAACGACAACAACGATTGATGCGGAAGATCATAACACAATGTGGCGACATGCGGGGTACGACGATTGAATGTTAGAGGTCAGTATGAGTGTATATCCAAGCATGCATGTCGCTTTTCTATTTGATTTTCACCTTCGAGTTTCAGTAGCATCGTCGCTCTTTTCGATTTTGGAGAAGAAAGCTTTGATTTTGGAGAAGAAATCTTTGATTTTCAATATTGATTTTGATGCATTTGGGGTTTTATGTTTGGATTTGGGTTTCTAGTCTCAGGGAGGAGAAGAGATTGGAGAGAGGGGAAATGGCATCGACCAGTACAAGAGAAGTTTGCGGCAAGGCCAAGAGATGATAGGAGGATTCGGGGACGACGGTGATGCTTGATGGTCGTTGGCGGCTTGGGGAAGTATTTGGTCTTCTTTGTTAGGGTTAGGTTAGCAGTAGGCACGAAAGAGTTGTGGGTTTGAGGGATTTATTTTTGGCTCTGTTTGATTTGGGTTGTGAGGGATTTATTTTTGGATCCTGTTTGATTTGGGCTGTGAGTGAATTGGGCATTGTGAGAAGTTGAGTACTGAGTAATCAGTTGGGTTGTAGGACTGTGTTAAATTTTTTGTTTGGTTGATCGGAATTCGGTTTCGGTCTGTATACCCCCGGTTTCCTAAATAAAGGGTTTTGGCTTTCGAATTCCGAACCGAACAACACTAATTCAGGTTGGTTCGGTTTAATTTGGTTTCGGTCCTGTTCGGTTTTGGGTTTACCGAACCGGATGCTCACCCTACTATATAGCATTGGTGCTTTAATGTACACCTTAAAGTTGTGCCGTAAAGTTAAATGTATAAGTTCAGGTTGTACCATAAAGGAATTTGTATCTTTATATATTATGGTACAACTTCACAATCTTACGTTGCACAATCACATAAAGATACAAGTTCAAGTCGTACCATAAAAAAAAATTGTACAAGAAGTATAGGTACAATCTAAAGTTGTACCATAACATCAAATATACAATTTCAAGTTGTACCATAAAAACAAAAACCTATAGCATCAATGCTATATAGCATTGTAAAATTCCTCGTCCGACTGAGGTACAAATAACACATGTCGGTTCTAATGAAATGTGTAGGAAAATTGAGAAACCACTAACAACTAACAACAAATTGATTGTGCATATATAACATATCTTAATACAATTTTCCTACAACTTATATCAATATTTAAATAAAAATACAACATTGTAAAAAAAAGATAAATCCTCATATTTAAATACAATACTAATCTTCAACATTGGAATATTTAAATTTGAGTCCAACAAAGAATATCAACATTCATATTTAAATAAAAATAAGACATTACAAACAAAATGACCAATTCTCATATTTACAAACATATTTTTTTATTAAATCCATCAACAGAACATTTTATTTAATGCCAAAAATTGTTAATACCGACCAGACGAGATTTTTCCAGAAATAGCACTGTTAATTTTTTTTCCAAAAATAGCACCCAACCCCGAAACATTCCAAAAATAGCACCCTTCCCAAAAAACCGTCACCCGAATCAGTGATTTAGGCGAAAACCGCCATCCGGGGGCGCGTTTTTCGATAAATACCGCACTGGTAGGGTGCGGTTTAGCAAACAATATGGGGCCAGGGCGTTTTGGTTGCAAACCGCACCCCCACCATGCGGTTTGTAATATATTTTTTGTCTTCAAAATAAATGTCACAAGTGGTCTTGGCACAACTAGTTTAGTTGTTTATTGTGTGCAAGAAGTCCTGGATTCGAATCCCCACCATCCCATTTGTTTTTTTTTTAGAGATTTTTTTTAGAGATTAAAAAAAGCAACATGTTGTGTGAGTGGTTGATCAAACCGAGATGATAAATAGTTTACTAAATTTAGCACAACATCTACACCACTCAACTACAACTCTTCTCTTGAAACAATAATATATTGACAAAGTTTTACTCCTTGAAAGCTAAAAATCCTCAATAACTTATAACAACCATGACTTTGTGCTCCAAAATCCGAATGTCATGAATTTTTTTTCTTCATTTCGCATAAATTTTTTAGGACTACAATTTTTACTAGGAATGAATTTTCAAAATAGGAATTATTTTTGGATATACAGGATATAGCTTACCTTCCCTTTTCAGCAATCCACGTACATTTTGAACTTATGTCTATGATAAAAGTTGTATTCTGATACGCCCCTGGAGGGGTGTATGTTATCAAAGTCACGAAGCTAACGACTCAATCGAAGAATCGATTGAGCTCGAATCAAGAACGAAACGTTCTTAATACGAACTTGGATAAAACGGAACCAAAAGGACAAATCCACACCTGGGATAGCTCAATTGGTATAAGAGGGTAGTTGCTCGACCACGATTGAAGTGACTATTCAATCGATACACAAACTCAGCAAGTTTGGAATCCACCAAACCCAAAACAAGTCGCAACTTGCACAAAACCAAAGGTTTGTTTTTCGATTAATCAAATTCTGAATTTTACAATGTAATTAGAAGGTATTTAAATGAAAATAAACCTAATACAATCCTAATAGAGCTAGGCAACAATTAAGGTAAAAGTCTACACTAAAAAGGACACAAAAATTCGGGTTTAAACTCCCTTTCTTGAAGCACAAGCAAGCTGCCAACAAACAGTCAAAAAGCAGCTTTCGTAGTAACTTCGTGCCATTCGTTCGAAGCCTTCCCGAACTCCAATCCTTCATCCAGTTCCCTCCCTTTGTACATAAACATACCTAGTTTCATGTTGTGGAAGCCTTTGGTCTTGAATCAGATCCATACTCCTCGAATCAAGCTCCAAAGTAGGCTTCACAAAACAGTTTCCAGACTTAACCATTTTCTGGCAGTTTTCCAGTTTTGAGGTAGCAACTTGGAGGCCTTGGAAAACAACCTTAATGACATCATCTGGATCCACAAAGCATACCATTGGAAAGTTGGTAACTTTATCTGCAAAAAAAACTATTAAAATAGAATTTCCACCAAGCCAATTGAGAGAACCATGCCTCCAAAGTATGTATCCTGAACACGGATTTTGACTTAGACAAATTCTGCCTTTCTTCTTCCCAACTTTGATAGCTTCTTTGGCAAGTAATTGTGACTCGTAGAAGTGGCCAATTTGGATCATATCAGGCTCTACCTCTTCAAAAAGTGTTGCCCTCAACACTTTAGCGTGTTGTTGCTCAAACCATTCACAGAATTGATCCCAAATTGGAACGAAAGTAGGTTGCTCAATCATCATTTTCGACAGAAAATTTTCAGCTTCAAACTCACCTCCAAGCTTCTCCGGGGATTTTGAAACTTGAATAGCTGTTGGGCACTCCTTCTGGGCTCGAAACAAATCTCCCTCGATGAACAATTGCACTGGAAAGAGGCCGAAACTATTTTCAGGTCGCCGGACTTCATCTCCGTCGTTGAGCTCATTCGACTGAATTGGGGCTTTTCGTTTCGAGGATCCCCAGCGCAATTCATCCACTCCACGATCTTCCCCAGGCTTCCAATTGAAGCTTGGATCAATTTTCCAGTCTCGAATCATCATCTTTGCCTTCGATCCGCTCCTCTTCCATTCCCGCCGTCGGCCAATTTCAAACCCAGATTATCGATTTCGAATTTGGGGTTTTTCAATCCAAGCATGTTTGAGGCGAATTGATGCATCCTACACATTCCATGTATCCCCATGAATGATTCTGCATCCTTGATTTGGCTCAAATTGAGCTCAATTGCTCTACGTAAGAGAGGCTCGTCGTCGGCAGGGCTCTTCACAAACAGAGCCCTTGCTGGACGAATTGATTCTTCAAAATCCGCTACAATCATGTCGAACGAATAAACTTGAGATGTTTCTGGGGTGGTAGTGACTATTTCTACACCGGCGGCGAAGTTCGACTCTTCGTCGGAGATTCCACCCAATTCCACCTTTTCTTCCTCGTGTGCGAGCTCCGCCAGGGGTGTTTAAGTTCGATCATCATCCTGCAAATTAGGGAACGTCGACGTAATTCCCTTGATAGGAGAGCTTTTCCATTAATCATGGAACGATTTGGCATCAGTTTCTACGTTCGGATCATTCCCCAGGTTGCTACCCAATTGCCCCTCTCTCTTCCTCTGTTTTGCCGGGGCAGACTGGAACTCTGCGTGGCTTGTAACCAGGCCGATTCGTCCATCGGCAGCCGGCTCCAGCGCTTCTTCTCAATTTTCAATCCTTCCCAACACATCCAGAGACGTTATTCTGGCCGCATCGGGCTCTGTCTTCTCTTCCTCAGCGTAGGCAGGGATACCAGAGTCGAAACTCTGTTTTGGCAGCGCAAAACAGGGGTCATGCCTGTCGCCGGATTCGAGCATTGGAGTTGCGTTCGGGAGCTTTCGAAAGCTCATAAAATTGAAGCCAATACGTCGTTGAATCCATAATTGAGCCCGAGGCTCCTTTACCTCGTTTTGATTCTCCTCTATTTGCTTCTGATCAGTGTAAACGTCATCTGGAGAAAGAGGTTTCAGCTTGATTTTCCTACCTTTGTATCTGAATGTGTAGGAATTCTCCCAACCGTTATGGGTAACCCCTCTGTCGAATTGCCAAGGTCGACCCAGTATTAGGTGAACATAATTCATCGACACAACATCACAAATTACCTCATCTTCGTAGCCACCAATTTTAAAACGAACTACGACTTGCTTCGTAACATTAATCGTACCGTGTTCGTTGATCCAGCTGAGTTGGTAAGGCGCTGGATGCCTTTGTGTCGTCAATCCAAGCTTTTGAACGGCGTATAGGCTGATGATGTTTGAGCAGCAACCTCCATTGATCACGAACGAAATTAACTTGCCTTCGACAAAGCATCGGCTGTGAAATAGATTATCACGCTGCTCATCGGATTCTCGTTGCTTAAAAACAGCTGCTGGCTGCTCCTCTTGGACAAGAATTTGCATCTTCCTTGCCTCTATACTGCTCTCCACCATCTCTTGGTGTAGAACCGAAAACTTCAAACAAAAACAGCAGCTGCAAAGTACAAACAGGGGCTGCCCTGTTTTGGAACTCGATAAAACTGCTTATACGAAACAGCAGGTTCTTCTTCTCCTTCGCCCTTGTGTAGAACGGGGCTCTGATACCACTTGATACGCCCCTGGAGGGGTGTATGTTATCAAAGTCACGCAGCTAACGACTCAATCGAAGAATCGATTGAGTTCGAATCAAGAACGAAGCGTTTTTAATACGAACTTGGATAAAACGGAACCAAAAGGACAAATCCACACCTGGGATAGCTCGATTGGTATAAGAGGGTAGTTGCTCGACCACGATTGAAGTGACTATTCAATCGATACACAAGCTCAACAAGTTTGGAATCCACCAAACCCAAAACAAGTCGCAACTTGCACAAAACCAAAGGTTTGTTTTTCGATTAATCAAAGTCTGAATTTTACAACGTAATTAGAAGGTATTTAAATGAAAATAAACCTAATACAATCCTAATAGAGCTAGGCAACAATTAAGGTAAAAGTCTACACTAAAAAGGACACAAAAATTCGGGTTTAAACTCCCTTTCTTGATGCACAAGCAAGCTGCCAACAAACAGTCAAAAAGCAGCTTTCGTAGTAACTTCGTGCCATTCGTTCGAAGCCTTCCCGAACTCCAATCCTTCATCCAATTCCTTCCCTTTGTACATAAACATACCTAGTTTTATGTTGTGGAAGCCTTTGGTCTTGAATCAGATCCATACTCCTCGAATCAAGCTCCAAAGTAGGCTTCACAAAACAGTTTCCAGACTTAACCATTTTCTGGCAGTTTTCCAGTTTTGAGGTAGCAACTTGGAGGCCTTGGAAAACAACCTTAATGACATCATCTGGATCCACAAAGCATACCATTGGAAAGTTGGCAACTTTATCTGCAAAACAAACTATTAAAATAGAATTTCCACCAAGCCAATTGAGAGAACCATGCCTCCAAAGTATGTATCCTGAACACGGATTTTGACTTAGCCAAATTCTGCCTTTCTTCTTCCCAACTTTGATAGCTTCTTTGGCAAGTAATTGTGACTCGTAGAAGTGGCCAATTTGGATCATATCATATTCCTTAAAAAGTTATGCGAAAGCCAAAGGTAACATAGCCTAGTGGTGAAACCACTGGACCAATTGAGCTCTGGATGTGGGAGGTCCTTAGTTCGATTCCCAGTGGCGCCACTTGAGCGTTCCCGGCGGCACCCTTGGTATCGGAGGCGAAGCCTCCCCGATGTTGGTAGAAGAAAGCCCCGGTTAGTATGCAGGTACCCCCAGTAGTTTAGTAGGCCCCGCTGTCGCTCAAGCGGTACGTGGGGCTGAGGTTCCCTGGGTTATAAAAAAAATGTTATGCGAAATAAAAAAAAAATCATGTCGTTTGGATTTTGGAGCACAAAGTTATGGTTGTCCAAAGTTTGACGAAATTGGAAAAAAGCTCGTTCGGTGTAGCAAACGACATTTTTTCGGGACGAAGGCAGGATCTCGAAAAGTTATGCAGAATAAAAAAAAAATCGCGACGATCGGATACCCAAACACAAAGATACATTCGTTTGAAGTTTCCACCTAGGTTAGGATTTTTCAAAAAAAAAAAAAAAAAAAGAGAGACCAAAACTGCATGGTGGGGGTGCGGTTTGCAACCAAACCGCCACGACCCTATGCGGTTTGCAAAACCGACCCCTACCAGTACGGTTTCCATCGTAAAATGCGCCCCCAAGTGGTAGTTTTTGGGAAATGGTGCCATTTTTGGAATTTTTTGGGGTTGGCTACTATTTTATGATTTTTTTAAATAGTGCTATTTCTGGAAAAATCCCCGATCGGACCATCTAATTTCTCATTTTGACTAGTTTTAATTACCACTTCGTATTAAGAAATTCGAGTCGATTTATTTTCTATCCTATTTTAGCCCAAATTATATCGAGTGTGTTATGGGACAATCCAAGTACCACATTGGAAATACAAGGGAAGAGACTCTTGTATATGAGTATCCACCAAGCTCATTAGTACGAGACCTTTTGGGAAGGAACCCAAGAGTAAAACCGTGCGGGCTTGGCCCAAAGTGGATGATCTCATACTAATTGAGCTCCCCGGTTATGACAAGCGGTATTAGAGTCTGGTTCGGGTCTAGGGCGGTGGACGTCAATTTGGTGAGACCCTCATTCGGTGACATCAGGATTTGAAATCTGCGTTTGTTTGGTAGATCCGAGAAGAAGATCCATATCTGTTTGGCGGATCAAAGAGAGTTCCACGTCTGGAAAAATCCTTGTACCCGAGAAGGCTATCGATACAAGGTGTTTGGCGGATCAAGATAATCGTTGAGGAGAGAACACAAAGTTTGTGGTCTTTATCTTGAGGGGAGGATTGTTATGGAACAATCCAAGTACCACATCGGCAATGAGGCATTTTGGGAAGGAACCCAAGAATAAAAACGTGCGGGCTTAGCCCAAAGTGGACAATATCGAACTAATTGAACTCCTTGGTTATGACAAGTGGTCATTAATATACAAGGGTCTCTTCCCTAGTATTTCCGATGTGCTATTTTGATTGTCCCATAACAAAGTGACATATCACTAGTTTAACAATGGCGCTTGCATCCTTTCATGTGGAGAGATACTATTTTTGTCCCTTACTGCAAAGGAAAAAAGGCCATAGGAAACAACTCATCGAACGCGGTAGTCGACGAATAATCGAACTATTGATAAAGTGTCATTTTTTCACTTAATGTACAATCCTATTAACACGACAAGAAACATATATATAAAATGACAATAAAGAGAAAGCATAAAGTCTCCAAACATTCTTTGAATTATGTTGGTGTTTTCTTGACGCCCTATTCTCATCATAGAAAATTCCTGACTATATAATATGAGCTCCTTCTGTTCCTAGCTTGTTGTCCAAAATCTGACAATCGATTTCGAAATAATTTAAATCGAGATCATGTTGTGAGCAACAATCTCAAATACAAAGCTCCTCCATTAAGCTAGCACAACCAGCTTCCAAAAGTTGTACTATCTTTACAAGTTTCAGATTCTTCAAAAGTTTATTCGCTACGATAACCCTATATAGCTTCAAAAGGTTTAATTTCTTCAAATTGTAGAAGCTCCATGGAGCACGGATTCACATCTTGTTGCACTACTTCCCCCTGGAGTTTAAGATCAATTTCATCGAGCAGAGATCAAACCCAAGCGAGTTGAACCAATTTGACCAAATCTGGTTTGGGTTGATAGTCATCTGGGTTGCTAGCGCCCAGTGAGGACCTCCAAGCGAGTCGAACCAATTTGACCAATTAAATCGATTGATCAATTAAGTGCGATTAAACCACAAATAAGAAAGCAAAGGAGACACGAAGTTCAATGAGTTAATTCTTTTTTTCGTTTTTTCTCATTTTATTTCCTTTTTATTTTTTACATTTTTTTCAGTCAGCTTCAATTCCAACCGCATAAAAGCAAAGCAAACCTTACAAATTACACGATTAATAATTAATTAGCATTAACCCCCTCTTATCACCCATAGCTCCCCTGCTTCCCCTCTCTTTTTTAGGCTTTCATAAACCCAGCAACATAAGGCACATTAGCGGCTCTAATCCAATCATCTCCTTCCACATAAAGCTTCGCAGGCGTAAACGTCTCAACCTGAGCCGCGGTCAACTTCCTAATACCCTTCCACGTCACCCGACCGCCCTGAGCCGAACCGGCCCCCTTGTTCTCAAACTCGGCATAGAACAGAGTGTTCAACCCGAAATCGCCCAGCCACGGCAACCAACCCTCGGGGGCAATCAAGTCATCGAGAATCGAGTTCATAACGATGGTGGTCGAGTACTCCTTCCAGGGCCTGCCCAAGTAGGCCTTGTTGGTGTGCCTGACGGGGAAATAAGCCGGGTCCGACGTGATGTGACAGCCCTGCAGGACGATGGCAGAGTCGCCGTTGGGGTCCTTCTTGCCCTCGGCGGTGACGATGCACGCCTGGTTGGGGAGCGGCTTGCGGACGATGAGCTTGCAGTTCTGGAGCACGGTCGTGGCGGTGCCGAAGACGAAGTCGATCGTTCCCGTGATGGTGCAGTCGCGGTAGAACTGGCGGTAGGCCTGGGCGTAGAGCGTGTCCTGGTAGCCGTCGAAGGCGCAGTTGTAGAGGACGGAGTTGTCGGACCTGGACCGGTAGGCCACGGCCTGGTGGCCTTCCGGTCCGGCCGTGTTCTCGAAACCCATGTCGCGGGCTACGAAGTTTGGTGCTACAACAGCTGCAGATCAAAATCAACCGTTATTTTTGCGTATTAATGTTATTGATGAGATTCGAACCTGTGACCCTACAAGTTCAAAACTAGTTGTAATACCACTAGGACAATTCCTTGGAGTTTCCAAATAAAGGTGGGTTCGAAAACATTTAGTAATTTAAAAAGTGGAAAAAATAGTTTAGCGGAAATTGTACCGAAGGTAGCGGTGTCGGAGGTTTGGACGCCGGCGGCGAAGTTTTTGCTACCGGTGACACGAGTTTTGGTGGGGCCATCACCAATCATCACAATGCCGTCAGCATACTTGGGGATCAAGACATGCTCTTTGTAAACTCCGGCCTTGACCTTAATGACGAAAGGGGTTTTGTGCTTCTTTGGGATGGCGCTGATGGCCTGCATGATACTCTTGTACTGCCCACTTCCATCTTGGGCCACAACCATATCGGCAGGGACACCAGCCTGGTTGGCCGCCAAGAGTCTCCTCTGGGCCGGGTCGACCCACGAAGGGAACTCGGACTGGGCCTGGGCCTGCAAGAGCTTGCGGGCCTTGCTGCTAAACTCAAACGTAGCCAAGAACTTAGCCAACCCATTAACCATGGCGAGCCCATTGCTAGTGAGCTCGCCGGACGTCTTGAGGATCTCCCTCATCTTGTCCCCCGCGGGGCCCGTGGTGTTATCGAACCCGTCCTTGCAGTTCTCTTGGAACGTGATGGTGGCCTCGAGCCATGTCTTGAGGTTGTCCAGGTGCACGTAGGCCTTTGCCATGTCGAACGAGCCCAGCTCGTCGACGGACCTCTTGAGGTCGTCGATCGCGGTCTCGAGCAGCTCGTCACAGAGCTCGAGGCCGCGCTTCGCCATGGGGTCCTTGGCGATCTCCTTCAGGGTGGCGGAGTTCTTCAGGGACTCTCTGAGGGACTCCGCCGCGACCTCGAACCCGACCTGGACCAGCTTCTTGGGGTCGGTGATGTTCTCCGCGGGCTTGGCCAGGCTCTTCTCGCAGGTCTCCTTGTAGGTGGAGGGCTGGCAGAGGACGGCCACGGCCTTGTTGGACGTGGACACCTCCGCGTGTTCCTCGTTGCCGCCGTCGCCGCTGGTGCCCGGGCCTGTCTCGTTGATGCCCACGGTGACGGCGACGACCATGGCGACGAGGAGCAAGGTGGAGACGCCGAGGACGGCGATCTTCCTCTTGCTGCTGTCGTCGGATTCTCCCATCGGAGGCTAGCTAATTAGTGTAGAGTAACTCTTGCTTAATACAATTACGCAGGGGAAGAGCTTTTTATTGCGCTACTTAATTACTGAGGTAGTAATATATTTTTTTTACCTTTTTATTTTTTTTTACCTAATATGATGGAAGAACCCAGAGCCTGAGGGCCAAAGAGAGGGGAAATGTGTAGCACTGGCCCTCAATGATGTTTCAGCCCTGGATTGGGTTGAACATTGAGAAGGGATTTGTTTATATAGGAGGGAGAAGGTGATTAAGTTAGTTAATTCGTTTTTTGGTTAAGGGGTAATTGCTAAAGTTAGAGTCTAATTACATTTTGGATGCGGGAGACTAGGGCAAAAGATATGGGGAACAGTTTAAGTTTCTGTGGTTTCTGGGGTGATTAGGGATTATCTGTTGACACAATTTATTACAGTTAAACCACATCAAAATTATATCCTTTTGTAGTTAATGGACAAAATTGGAACAAAACAAAATCAAGATGTTAAGAATGTTGTCTAGCTAAGAAAAAAAAAACAATTAATTTCTTACGATAAAAACACACTAGCCTATTACCCGGCCCGTTGGCCGGATTAGTGTATGTTACCCACTTGTGGAATAGGAGAAAAAGCAAGTGAGAGTAGAAGGAATTGGGATTCCACTTACTTAGGACCGACCCACTAATCCGATTCTTCCCGACCCGCCCCAACCTAAAGGGTCCGAAAGAGTCAATAAGAAAATACGAACGGAGAGGATTAGTCATATATCTTGAATCTTCATAAGTGGGTCAAACAAGATCAAGGTTGGGTGAGGGGAATTTTTAGCGCTAAGCAGAGTTCTGGTTGAATAACTTTACTTAGGCCTAGAAATTGGTGCTGATGCAGACTGCAGTTTTTATTATACCATCATCAATCATCATTGAATTAGTCCTGGGCATCCCTCCCCGTTGTCGATCTGAATTCTAATGATGGCTTCGTTCCTTGCACCAGCCATATCGGCGAGTTGTCATCTCGAGCATGATTTGCCTATGTACAAATGATACAATTAGAGTATGAAACTGAATTCAAAGAAAGGAAAAGAGAATTCTATCACATGCCAATAAATACACGCATAATAGTGAAGCTAAGTGAAAGTCATTACTCGCAAATCAATTCTCAAAAATTACAGACTAAACAATGGCTAGAATGGCACTGAAACTACCAAGAATCATGGACGAAACAACTTGTCAAATTAAATAATCCTTATACTCAAAACTACCTTCTAACTTGAAATAGGACATGATCACAGTTCATAGCTCTCTTCTCACTATGAATTGGTTGCAGCTCGTCCTTATCACTGCCTCCCAAGCTCAATTCCAACAGAATAGAGACAGTTATGTAAGATAACCATATCCTTACTGATCATAATTCCTTTCTTCACTCCATTTTTGTCAGAGAAAAGAGTTAACCCCCTCTCCTGCATTTCCCTTTCCCCCTCTCTTCTCCCTCTTCTTCACAAACCGATCCCTAAACCAGCAACAACAACACAAAAATAGCCTTCGCCTCTGCCATCTCCATCTACTGAACGCGTTGGTGGCAAGACAGGACTGCAGAAGCAAAATTTTCTAAAATCAAACTAAATTTTTTGAAGGAGACCTAACCACGAAAAAAGAGTAAAGCAACAATGCTAATAGTTCGGATGGTTGGTTTTGATGTTATACATTGCTTTTGTTCTGGTCTCCAGTATATCAACTGCACGATTTAGAAGCAAGTCCTCCTGTTTGTGTCAAACGAAAACATTCACGGGTTCTTAACTCCCCTGTTAGTGTAAAAGCAGCAGCGGCAAAGAAGTTTGACAACACAGCAAGCACCCAGGCAAAATGCTACAATGTAGTAGGTGATATGTGTCTCGAAGGTTTTGAGTTACTAAAGGTCATATATCCAATTCACAAACAATTAAGCCATAAAAAATATCATACATCCACCACCTTTGATTGCCTAAATTTGGTTTTTCGCAAAGTTATGGACTCTTAAGGGTAACGTTCATGGGTAGTCTGTTTCATAACTCTAGAGAGCACAGTAAGCAGCCACCAGCCAGACACAGTGCGGTAGGCGAATATGATTCTCAATTCACAATTTCTCACCACCGGAAGTAAGAACAGACCATAATAAGCGTAACATTCATGGGTGGTCTGTTTCATAGCACTACCACACAATTTGTTAAAAAAGAAAGAAAGGTATTTAGCACCACGGTGGAACAACTTTTACAGGCCAACAACGACAACATGCTGCAACCACCAGAACTGGTATCGCAACTCATAGGGAAAATCAAAAGAGCAATCGTCAAGCACATACACCATCACAAAAGTCACGGAACCTGATTCACAAAGCATTCAAACATTTGAGGACATTTCTGCAAAGGTACAACTTATATGTCTTTTTTCCAAGCCATTTCCATCAACATGCTAATAAATTTGCAATGCATAAAACAAACGGGCCAAAACTTGAAATTCAGCCTGTTCGATCGACCCATGCCAAATTCTAATTATTCTTTACTTTTAAACTTTCTATTTGAAAATAAAAAAAATAGTGAAAGAAAAGAGACGACTACAATTCGCCATTTGCACATCACTTAATCGAGATTAAAACCATGGAAATTCAAAAGGAACTGAAAATGTTTAGGATCGTTATAATGTTTAAAATAACCAAATAGATCGTTATGTTTAGTTTTTTACTAACAAATACCAAACGATTCCCTATAAAATACACTATAATTTGATCATTGTGATATCAAATAATTATAAAATATATATTTGAAATGATAAAAATTGGACTAATTGTGTTGGTCGAGGTTGAACCATTGAATAACTTTAAAATACATTATATTTTAGCCACTAAGATATAAAATAATAGCATAATAGAAAATAGCTTGTTTTAGAATGACAAACCAATGATGTTCATTTGTTTTACTTGATGGCCAAATCCCATGTAGGTCAGGCCCATTCAACTCTTTTATTTTATGGTTAGCGGTTAGCCCATTAGATACCATGCATTAGTTTATTGTTAAATTTTTTATTTTTAACAATAAAAAGGAGTATTAGTTTTTCCTTTTCATATATATTTTATCACCACGGAGAAATAAAAGGGTTTAAAGAAAAAAAATTGACACTCCTGGACCCGTTTAAATTCGCATGTGTACGGTAAGCTGGCCCGTTCCACAGAGGAAAGAGAAAAAAATTGACACTTCCTATTCTACCCTTCCTACAAACACTCATGGAGCAGGGAATTTGAAATGGGGGAAGGGTTTTTTCCTCCCTGCTATTATATGTTTTTAATTTAAAAAGATACAACAAATGTGCTTAGTGTGATTGGTTATTATCCTTGCTTTTCTTTAAAATGGTCATGGTTCGAATCCCAGTACGTGTCTTTTTAATGAATAAAAAAAGCAATTGTGAAGACCAAAATGTCCTTCCTACTTTCACTCTCGTTGCAGGAAATTTTCTTTAAAATGGTCATGGTTCGAATCCCAGTACGTGTCTTTTTAATGAATAAAAAAAGCAATTGTGAAGACCAAAATGTCCTTCCTACTTTCACTCTCGTTGCAGGAAATTTGAAATGGAGCTCCCGTTTTTCCCTTCGGCGTATTATATTATGTGTAGATGGTGTCTATGAAAAGGAAAAATAATATTTGATGAAATACAACCCTAGCAAGAGTGCAACTAGGCAATTTTGATCTGACCCATTTTACCCGACTTGTTTGATTTGTTTTTGGGCGGGTCCGACCCACCCATTAGGCGGGGTGGGGCTGGCATGGGTATTCTCATCGACCTGACCTACCTTGACCCGCCCCATTCTCGATCCGTTATTGCCTAAATTACATGTAATTTTAGTCAAATTACTTAGAATTTTCTTTTTATTACATCATATTTTAGTTATTATAAAGTTGTAAATTAGTAAAAATCTCAATCTCCAATAATTTAACTACATTTTATCATTTTATGATTTGTTTCTTGGTCTTATAGTGAAAATAACTAATATTTCTCATGCTTTCCATATAAATCACATACCCATTGGGTCGACCTGCCCCGACCCGCGTCCCATGATAAATTACCTGACATGGACCCGACCTACCACGGGGAGGGTATGGGTATCGAAATACCCGCCCCGGACCTGCCCCATTGTCCTTCCTAGTTGCATGTATTGTGCAGAGTAGTGGGTACTCGGGAGTAGGGGTGTGCAATGGTCCGGTTCGTACTGAACCAAATTGAAGTTCGGACCGGACTATATCAGATTGAGTATAATGCGGTCCAGTACTTGGTCCTCATGAATTTTACAATTACTGAAGAAATGATGCATCGAGCTAACATTTGGACCGGATCGAACCCGACCAAATGGATCGAATGCAATGATGGTCTGGTGTTTGTTTCTAAGATGTCTTTCACTAATAGACTTTGGTTCTCATGAGTTCGGTCCAGTCCGGACCGCACTGGACAGGCTGGATGACTTTAAAGGTGGATCTAGCTAAGGTCTGACCTACGACATAATTAAATGGGACTTTGTCAGAGACACCTTACAAGCTACAGGGGCACCACAAGAGTTTCGTATCGAAGAGATGCGACAAAGTGTTCGGATCATTGTGTAATGTCTTAATCAAATGCCTAGTGGCATGATAAAAGCCGATGATTGTAAACTATGTCCTCCATCACGATGTCGAATGAAACTATCCATGGAATCGTGCGCCCTGCTACACGCTCACTGCCACTTGTCGTTAGAAAGAAAGTGAGGGGAGATCGACGTTTCCAGGTTGGGTTTGTGTTCACAGTCCTATTTTTTGCAATAAGAGAAAAGAACAACGGAACGAAAAAGTCAGATTTTTATCCCCAACCTATCTACCGGGCATTTCCGGGGACCGTTGCACACCCCTAGTCGGGAGTGATTTGAAGAAAGCAATTATTAAAACAATCAGGGTTTCCAGTAGGGTGGGCATTCGGTCGGTTCGGTTTCGACTGAACCAAAATTATGAATACCGGGTCCCTGAATTCTCCCAAATCTCAAACCGAATTAGAACCAAATTATAATTCAGTTCGGTCGGTTTAAACCGAATTATAATTCGGTTCGGTTTTTCACAGAAAATCTAATTTGTGAAGCTACTTGTACCTTCTCACTTTTAAATTATTTTTCACCCCTAATATAAACAATAAGTATGCAATTATATGCATCATCAATGATAAAATCAAACTTTTCAACACATA